CTAGTGATGTACTGGGCTGTCCGTACCACCCTCTGTAGCGAGGGCGGTGCAGTTGCCATAACGAGCAGTGATGCAGCCAGTCAAGATTCTCTCAATGGTGCAGCTGTATAACTTTTTGAGGATTTGAGGGCCCATGCCAAATCTTTTTAACCTCCTGGGGGGGAAGAGGCGCTGTTGCGCATTCTTCACATCTGTTTCAGTGTGTGGACCATTTTAAGGGTCTAGGAAACATTTAGGCTACATTTCCTAGACCTAGGGTTGCCAAAAATTGGCGAACAAAAAGGCTATTTCAGGAATTTTTTTCTGAAGACTGAAATTAAGACATGAAAAGTAAACAATGTGAAGAATGATTTGTGTTTTGACAGAGAAAGGGGGGAAAAAACTAGATGCTAAACTATGCCTTCAGCAGGAGTTGAATGCACATTTGTTTTTAGCCGTTAGCTGCTGGCTAAGTAGCGCTGCTGAAAGAGCGGAGCTTTGAGAGCTCCTTAATGTGTGAAGATTGAGTTGCTCTTTACCCTCTTGCTGAAAGCTGGGTGCCTGTGATTTAGTACAAGAGCATAAGGAGTTAGGCACACTCAGGCAGTCATAAAACTGTCCTTTAGCGTGGTTTATTATGACGCTAATCCCGAGCATGTGGAGAGAGGCAGACAGGCCACTTAAGTCAAAGAGAGGTCTGTCCCAACAGTTTAGAACTCTGTCTGACTCCTCGGAGACTCAATGACCCTGGAAAGGACACACACACAGATTGCACACACATTGCACCACACACATTGCACACGCAAAAGGACCACAGAAAAAAAAAGCACACAGATAGTCACAAACACACACACACAGCAGAGCACTGTTTGGAGAGATCTGGTTACACTGCAGGGATAAATGCCCTTCGCTAATATCTTTGACACTATTGCTTCACGTTGATCTAGTTGTCTCTATGAAACAATTATTCTATTCTGGGGGAGATATTTAGGACATAACCAGCTAGAGGGGAAAGAAGGTGGGGGCCCACCTAATATAGAAATACATGTTATTAAGATAGGTAGAAGGTAGGAAAAAAAGGGTACATCAATATTAAGAAGAGAAGTAATAGGATGAAAGGGTATAGTACACTTAGCCTGACAGTGCAAGCTAAATTCTTCTGCTGCTCTGTCGTTCGCTACATACTTTATTTAGTCTGAGGATGCCATCATTGCAGTCATTTCTGGTGACGAGGGGCACGAGGGGAGTTGTACAAAACAAAGTCATTAGCGATTGGATCGTCTCTAACCAATCAGAGTATCAACGGCAATGGCTAATTTTCAAACCGCTGCTTTACCCACGTGTGTTCTGGCTCTGGCCCAACCTATCGGTTTCTGGAACAATCAGACTGCCCCGAATGTGTTCGCATTTGGTGTAGGTACTCAGATCCAGACTCATTGCGGAGAAAAAACTAACGTCCGTGGGTGTGGTGTAGCGTTTGGCCAGAGCAAGGAGTCTGGGTAGCCAGGCAAAAGTACACTCCCCTTCGTATGGACAGTGAAGCAAAAACTGTACATTTGGCTCTATACTCCAGCATTTTGGATTTCAGATCAAATGTTTCATGAGGCGACAGTACAGAATGTCACCTTTTATTTGAGGGATTCATATCTGTTTTACTGTTTCGAAATGAAAGCACTTTATATATCTGGTCCCACCCATGTGAAGAAATCATAGGTATTTGGACAAATTCACTTATGTATCAAAGTAGCCAAAAGCATAGTATTTGGTGCCATATTTCTTGCACGCAATGACTATATTAAGCTTGTGACTCTTTTGGTTGTGTTATGCTTTGCCCAATAGTTACTGAATGGTGAGTGATGACTGGAGTGTTTCTGAACACTTCTAAATGAATCCTAATAATTCCATGATTAAGAAAAATCATGAATGAATCATGATTAATTTCGAGTGAGATGCCGTTCAGAGGCTACAACAAAACATGCTAACTTCTCACCATTACCAATAACATGGGAGGTTAGCATTTTTTTGGGGGTATGATCTTTATTCATGATTTTGGGGGTATGATCGTCATTATTCATAATTCATGATTCATTCATGATTATCCGTAATCAAGGTAGCATCCGCATTAATGTAGAAGTGTTCAGAAACATCTTCTATTCTTATTTACAATAGAATTTACTCAAAAATTATATAATACATTATTCACCATTATTCAAACAATCTGAAACACAACCAAAACAAACTGCAAATCCATCAAGTTTGTAGAGTCACAAGCTTGATGTAGACATTGTGTGCTAGGAATATGTGACCAAATACTACACTTTTGACTACTTTAATACAGTATGAGTGAAATTTGTCCAAATACTTATCGCGTCTTCAAATTGGGGGACTAGATATATAAAGTGCTTTCATTTCTATAAGGTAAATGTATGAAAATACCCCAAAATAAAAGGTGACATTCTGTACTGTCGCCTCATATGAAACATTTGAACTCAAATCAAAATGCTTGAGTAAAAATGTAGCTTCACTGTCCAAATACATACGGAGGTGAGTGTATATATAAAGTTTAATGTTTTTTGCATTTAGTAAGTTTGTCCCATTGTCTTCTCCTATGAGGCAGCTGTACATCCCCCTCTGGTATTTCTGTTATGCCCCATCTTTCCCCTTTCAGACCACTAAACGACTTGAAACTCGTAATGTGTAAGCTCACACACACACAGTCACATGATTTTGCCACATAACTGTACAGACAGTGTAGGGCAGACTGACCAGACGAGCACATAACACCCGTAATGACCTTGGCTGATTGTAAACCATACGAGTCATTGGGTGATCATCACTCCAAGGCACCACACTACCTATTTACTGCAACACACACACCTAAGCCCCTCTGGTATTTCAACATGGTCACTCCATGCATTCTCCCTATTGAGGCAAACGATTATGATGGCAGCTGCTGTTTGTTATATATATATATATATATATCTTGGCTGTGATAGCCTCAAGGTTAGAGAGGCAGGTTGGTAATGGGAAGTTTGCCGGTTCAAATCCCAGTGCTGACTGGAAAAAGTGAGCTGGCAACCGGAGGATTGCTGGCCTCAATAACTAAAATGCCATCTACAGCAACTGTGCCCTTGAGCAAAGCCCTTAACCCCCAAACTTCTCCAGGGGCGGCGCTCTGTGGCTGACCCTGTGCTGCTCCCAGCCTGTCGTGTTTGTGTGTGGTGTTGGGTACTGTCACAGCAAAAATAACAATATCTGTGCAAATGGACAATAAAGGTCTATTATATTATATTCCATTCTTTGGGGAGCGTTCAGATAGTAAAGCATGTGTGCACTATCCAAAATGAGCATGAAAACCAAACCTTTGAATTATATGTAAGCTTCCTAGCACTAGAGTTAACCCCTAACTCCAGCGGTTTACTGCTCGAAATGAACTGCTACTAAAGAGGACTAAAAGTGTCAGTCAAAAACTGACACTAAATTATCATCCCAGAAACAGGCATATTTTTGTGGTTTTCACATACTCCTTGACCGAACTAAAACAGGCCCTCTTTGGCAATGTATGGGTAAAGGCACTATGGCTCGTGAATCCAAATGTCATGTGTTGTTCAGAAAATCAGAATGGTTATATTATCTGTTGCTCAAAAAGTCTGATGACTTTGGAGATGGTTAGTGTCTTGTCTTTCTATCGCTAGTAACATAACAGCAACTAGATCCAGTGTTCTTCAATCCTATTCCTTTGGACCCACAGGGTGTGCAAGCTTTGTTTTAGCTTAGCACTAGCACTCCTGATTCAACTCAAGGGCTTATTGATTAGTTAAATCAGGTGTGTTAGTGCTGGGCTGGAACAAAAGCCTGGTCCCCTAGTGAATATATCGATGGTTATTGTCCCTAAAATGGTAGCATGGTTAGTGTGATAGTCATAGCTTGACTGGATGACATAATGGTCAGAATAGGGGGATGAAACAGCTGTGGATGGGTGATCAGAGGGAATGAGAAGAATGGGAGGGAGGGGAGACACCAGGCACCAGGTTTAACCTCCTGTGGTCAGCATACCACCCTGCATCCAACTGCTGGCTTGCCTCTGAAGCTAAGCAGGGTTGGTCCTGGTTGGTCCCTGGATGAGAGACCAGATGCTGCTGGAAGTGGTGTTGGAGGGCCAGTAGGAGGCAGTCTTTCCTCTGGTCTAAAATAAAATATCACAATGCCCCAGAGCAGTGATTGGGGACATTGCCCTGTGCAGGGTGCCGTCTTTCGGATGGGACGTTAAACGGGTGTCCTGACTCTGTGGTCACTAAAGATCCTATGGCACTTCTCGTAAGAGTAGGGGTATTAACCCCTGTGTCTTGGCTAAATTCCCAATCTAGCCCTCATACCATGGCCACCTAGTTTTCCCCAGCTTCCAATTGGCTCATTCCTCTCCCCTGTAAATGAGAATGTGTTCTCAGTCAACTTAACGGGTAAAATAAAATATATAAACCTGTCTAACCCTGTAACAGCAGATTGTGTTTTAAGAGCACAAGTGTGTTTGCTTTGTCATACAGTATGTAATATAAGCAGGTATGAGGCTTTTGGTGCCTTCAAGCTTACTAAATGTTTTTAATGGGTACCTGCCCAGAACCTGCATTGCTCCAGGTTCAAAGCTCGTATCTGTAGCCTGTTATAACTTCGGGACTTACTAAGGCATCTGGCTAGACCTATTCTACACCCTCTTCTGTTGATGATGATCACTGGACCAATTCCACAACACCTCTTCGAACTTATCATAATTTCCAAAGCAACCCCAGCATCTATGTCATGGCACCAATGTGACCGGCCTGGTGTCAAACCAGGATCGTCCCTGCTACTTAAGACCATGTTGACCCACGTAACAAATAGCCTAGGCATCAGTTCTTGGAGCTAACACAAGTCTTTAGGTCTCAGGAAAGTTTACTTATCTGGAGCTGAGTTGGTAGAAGTTGCACCTAACCACTGGTCCAGGGTCAGCTATTTTATTGTCCTCGTAATACTTAATGTAAGACCTAGGAAGAACACAACACACTTACATCTGCAGCCTTCTTGTCCGCAACCTCCAACTTCTCCTGGGCGTCCTTCAAGGCCTCAGAGTATTTGTCCAGCTCATCCTCAGTTCCCTTCAGCTTCTTTTGCATCTGCAGCAACTCATCCTCGTGCTGAGAGAGAGAGAGAGAGAGAGAGAGAGAGAGAGAGAGAGAGAGAGAGAGAGAGAGAGAGAGAGAGAGAGAGAGAGAGAGAGAGAGAGAGACTTTTCACACTATGGTGCAGACCTGAATCGTACTGGGCTGACCCTCACATTTTCTTTTCACCTTGACCTTTCCAGCACGGTTCAAGCAACTATGGTGGATACATAACCAGGCCAGCACAGTAAAGCTCAGCTCATTAGTGTGAAAATAGTATTTGTTAACTGATAGCCTCATAACCTTGTCCATTGCCGTTCATCAAGGCATCTTGACTGTCACCCAGGCCTGGGTTCAAATAGTATTTTTCTTCTTTCAAATACTTTGAGTGTTTGATTGAGCTTTTCTGGGGTGGCAAATGGGCCGGTTTTGCACTTTTGGGACTTTTCCATTGGCTCCATTGCACCAGGCAAGCAAAAAAAAAAGTACTATTTGAACCCATCTCTGCAGCCGCCTCACCTGTCCTCCAGTCACAAGTAACCTAAAGCCTGATGACAGGCCTGGCGTGGTTCCACTTCAACGCCATCTAGATATAAATACTCCCTCTGGATGGTAACATCCCCTAACAATCACTCAGTGAAAGGATCCTAGTGTATAGCCCTTTGCAATTTCTCAGTGGAGAGATCACTAGTTAAACCACTCCAGCCTTGACGGACAGCCTGTCTGGCCTTGCTAATGAGAGAAATATGGTCTAACATTTCTATCAAGTTGTCTTGGCATGGTTTTGAATTTTCCAGTTGTCTTTTCTTTCCTGGACAGGTGTCACTTTGGATTCAGTTGTTAAGTCTAGTTAACTCTGTCCTATTCTTAACCATATCCTAACCTCTAGTATTTATAGTAATGTCATGAACTTAATACCTCATTTTCAAGAATAATTAAATCAAATCACTGGAATGTAAAAGAAAACCCTTACAAATTAAAGTATATATATATATATATATATATATATATATATATATATATATATATATATATATATATACATATATATATATATATACACACACACACACACACATCTGTTACAAACACATCTAGAAAAGCAGGTGAGATGACTCTTTCACTAACTAGTATATTGCAATATTGGTTTAACATTTCACATCTGTTTGAACAATTATTTTTTAACTCTAACTTTTAACAATGACAGGCCTAGGGGTTGCAACCAAGTTATATCTAAGCAGATGACTACCCCTGACCATTTCCAATAACACAGCCACATCATGGAAACATATAAGCCATTTCACCTTTCAAGACTTCCACTCCCCATCCCTGTCCCAGTGGGCAAAAGTTGGCATGGGACGTCATAATGACATTTTCTGATGGTTAATTGGATTTCCACTTGTACAGACAATACAAACAGGGCTCAGGTCAAAAGTAGTGCAATATATAGGGACTAGGATGCAATTTATGACACACCCACACGTCTTTTTCTGGTCACTAAAAATACGTCTGAAAAAACATCCTTGTACAATAAATATACAACCTGACCATGACGTACAAAAAATGACAGAATGACGTCATTGCAACCAGTTTTGCTCCCTGGGGTAGTAGTAGCAGCCTATAGGTGCCCATGTCCCCATCCATGATAGAGGGCCCCCCCTCACTCTCTCTAATGTTGTTGGCCCACCTGCTTGCTCCTCTCCTCGGCTGCCTTCTTGTCGGTATCGGCTTGTTCTGCCGCGTCCAGAGCATTCTCCTTATCCAGCTTCAACATAAGCATCTTCTTCTTGACTGCCTCCATTTTTACGAAGGTTTTTGGGGCTTTTTGACCTCGAAGATATAGGAAGGGGGGGAGATAAAGGGTGCAGGACAGCCAAGTCCTGTCAACTCAGTGGAACAGGACAGACAGAGAGAGGGAGTGAGGGAGAAAGAGTAGAGGAGAGACCAAACTCATGGATGGAAAGGGAACATATATATCCCCAAGTGTAGATGGCCACACCCACAAACATGTCCCTCCCACTTTAGCCTTCTGGCTCCAACCAATTCAAACCTTTAAAGCTCTGTTCTTCAAAGTGATCTACTGATCCTTCCTCTCCATAATAAAGCAAATTAGGATGAACTTACCTTGATGTTGCGTTGTTCCCCTAATGGTAAAGGTCAGGTTTGGGGACTTTTGGCAAGTCGGTTAGGACATCTACTTTGTGCATGACAAGTAATTCTTCCAACAATTGTTTACAGACAGATTATTTCACTGTATCACAATTCCAGTGGGTCAGAAGTTTACATACACTATGTTGACTGTGCCTTTAAACAGCTTGGAAAATTCCAGAAAATGATGTCATGGCTTTAGAAGCTTCTGAAAGGCTAACTGACATCATTTGAGTCTATTGAAGGTGTACCTGTGGATGTATTTCAAGGCCTACCTTCAAACTCAGTGCCTCTTTGCTTAACATCATGGGAAAATCAAAAGAAATCAGCCAAGACCTCAGAAAAAAAATTGTAGACCTCCACAAGTCTGGTTCATCCTTGGGAGCAATTTCCAAACGCCTGAAGGTACCACGTTCATCTGTACAAACAATAGTACGCAAGTATAAACACCATGGGACCACGCAGCCGTCATACTGCTCAGGAAGGATACGCGTTCTGTCTCCTAGAGATGAACGTACTTTGGTACGTAAAAGTGCAAATCAATCCCAGAACAGCAGCAAAATACCTTGTGAAGATGCTGGAGGAAACAGGTACAAAAGTATCTATATCCACAGTAAAACGAGTCCTATATCAACATAACCTGAAAGGCCGCTCAGCAAGGAGAAGCCACTGCTCCAAAACCGCTATAAAAAAGCCAGACTACAGTTTGCAACTGCACATGGGGACAAAGATCGTACTTTTTGGAGAAATGTCTTCTGGTCTGATGAAACAAAAATTGAATTGTTTGGCCATAATGACCATCGTTATGTTTGGAGGAAAAAGGCGGACGCTTGCAAGCCGAAGAACACCATCCCAACCGTGAAGCACGGAGGTGCCAGCATCATGCTGTGGGGGTGCTTTTCTGCAGGAGGGACTGGTGCACTTCACAAAATAGATGGCATCATGAGGAAGGAAAATTATGTTGATATATTGAAGTAACATCTCAAGACATCAGTCAGGAAGTTAAAGCTTGGTCGCAAATGGGCCTTCCAAATGGACAATGACCCCAAGCATACTTCCAAAGTTGTGGCAAAATGGCTTAAGGACAACAAAGTCAAGGTATTGGAGTGGCCATCACAAAGCCCTGACCTCAATCCTACAGAAAACGTGTGGGCAGAACTGAAAAAGCGTGTGCAAGCAAGGAGGCCTACAAACCTGACTCAGTTACACCAGCTCTGTCAGGAGGAATGGGCCAAAATTCACTTGTGGAAGGCTACCCGAAACGTTTGACCCAAGTTAAACAATTTAAAGGCAATGCTACCAAATATTAATTGAGTAAACTTCTGACCCACTGGGAATGTGATGAAATAAATAAAAGCTGAAATAAATCACTCTCTACTATTATTCTGACATTTCACATTCTTAAAATAAAGTGGTGATCCTAACTGACCTAAGACAGGGAATTTTTACTAGGATTGTTTGTCAGGAATTGTGAAAAACTGAGTTTAAATGTATTTGGCTAAGGTGTATGTAAACTTCCGACTTCAACCGTATATTGTACGTTTCCTGCTGTGTGGGCTTTTCGTAATAAAAAGTGAGGTGGTGGGAGAGAGAAATAGATAGAAGGACAATCAGAGTGGGGCATAGAGAATTAGGCAGATGCGGTCATAAAACAAAAGAAACAGTTCTATTTCTGTCTTCCATACACGCATGCACAGGGTTCGAATTACAGAGGTGTCTATGGGTGCAGGGTAGTGTGGGGAGTGGGCACTCCCATAACAAATCAGGAAACCCCTATATCATAGCTCTGGGCACCCCTTAAAATGTTGAAAATATTAGCTTCAGTGAAATAACCTTGGCAACAAAACCACCAAACAGAGTAGTACCTGGTTTTAGTATTCATCCAAATTACATATTGGGTTTGTTACCCTATAAGGAGTCTATCGACAAGGCAAGGCAGCACTCTATCCTTTGGTTTTTACCTGGCCACTGTCTCCAAACGCTACATTTTGTATAATTTTTGTCCAAAAACCAATGCAAGTCAATGTCCCTGATATAAGCATGTTCTGCATTTCATGTCCAAATCATCTTAAAAAGTAACTTTATTGAGTTAGACAATTTTAGACACTTTGAGATCATTTAGACATGAAATGCTAGACATGCTAACAAGGAGAAAGGACTTCATCTCAACAGCTTATTCTAAAGAATCATGGCATAGTAAATATTGAGGTCATAAACTTATACTACTTCATAACTCTTTTATAACAGTTCAGCAACACCTGCTCATGTCTGACACCACTAGTGCAAACTCCAATGCTCTTAAACAGAAACTTGACAGCCAAAGATACAGAGTGACTGAAAGAGAGACGCCTAGCAATTTTACGTTAGGTTAGTTAAGGTTAGCTAATGTTAGGTTAAAGGTCAGAGGTTCAGGGGTTAGATCAAGGTGGAAAAGCCAACAACACGTAGGGCCCGATTCAATCAGATCCGCTTTAGCCGACATCCGCATGTCAAATCCACAAGCAGCTCCTGGCATTATACCTAAAGCGGACATTGCCATTTTCTGCACGGAGTCGCATTAAAAATAAATCTCATGCAGTCGAAGTTCGAACACTGGAATGTGAGATTAAATCTACACCTCGATCAAGCTGGTAGAAATCCTCATTATTTTGTTGAATGATTTTCAATTTGAGCGTCATTATTTCTATATAGCCTACACTTTCTCGTTCTGAACTTCTAACGTGAGTGGGATGAGTGTGGCTTCCTGACAATGATCAAGAACAGCTGCTCACCGATTTTCCAGCTCCAACTTAGTTACACCTCAAACGCCACCAAAACATCAGCTATGCGGGTGTCGGCTATCGCCGGTTAACGCTTGATCTGATTGAAAATAGGCCTTAGTTTTGGAGGCTAAAGCTGGAGGTCAGATCCAAGGTTTTATGTACCCTTCTAATAGTTACCACACTTGCAAAATGTTAAATGTAAGAACAATTTAAGACAGTTTGGTTGTACTGTGACCTAAAACATGACGAATACTATAAATCAGGTGATTATTTAAGCGCAAGAGGAAAATAAAAGACAGAGACGTGGGGGGAAAGGGAGGGAGATCTCTTGAAGAATGGGCCACAGTACAGCTTCCCAGTAACCCCACTCCCCCTTGCTACTCTCCCGGACCACCGGAGCTTGTCTGGGCTTACAGTGCCATGGCATCCCCAACGTTGGGAAATTCCAATGATAAATGGAGTGCAGGCGGGGCGTAGAGGGGCGACCACTATGCCAGCTATGTCCCCCAATGGGGATATTTATACATGTTACTTGGCTGACATTGTCCCCAGGATTAGGGAGGGAGGGATAGAGAGAAACAAATAAATATATATATATATATATATATATATATATATATATATATATATATATATATATCCATCTATATACACAGCTAGAGAGAAAGAGAGAGGTAGTGGACAAGAGAGTGAGACGGTTAGCGATGGGAGAAGGGAGTGCATACATGTCACTTGGTCAACATTGTGTCCAGGTTTAGACTGTGGAAGGGAGGAAGGAAGAGGGAGAAAGAGAAACAAAGAGAGTGATAGAACCTGTCCGGAAACAACTCCTCATGGAGATGTGAGACAACTGGACAGGTGAGTAGGGGCTAGGGGCTGTTTCTAGACAGAGGCATAGAGTGTAGGAGAAAAGGAGAGTAAGAGGGTCAGAGATGGAGACAGATGGGAGAGGGAATGAATACAAAATTGTATAGAGGAAGTTAAAAAGGTTAAAGAGAAAAGAGAGATGGAGAAGAGAGTTAATAGTGTATTGGGGTTTGATAGATTTGACCTGATGTTTCGGTAGAGGCATCAAGCCATCATGAGGGGTTTAGGGGGAGGTATTTGGGGAAGCGGTGTCAGCCTACAGTAGATATAGAGTATGAGACAGTGGGATACTTGAGCTCAGTCCCTCCTAAAAGACAGCTGCTTTTTACCACCGAATTGGTTGACATACTATGGGGATCATCATCAGTCTGATATGATAAGCTTTGGTATCCATGCTTTTGATTGTCTGTACAATGTGTCAGTTTAAAGCAGAGAGATTCAATTACCAGCATGCAGTGGTAATGCTTCAGGTAAGAGCTACTGTTGATAACACTTCTTTGGACCTTTTCATCACAAGGTATACCTAACACCGTCATAATAATGACATACATGAGAGGTTATGACAACTGTCGCAAACCTTTACCTAGGCATACTTCCAATTAGGATAGGCATAATGCCAACAAACTTACCTTAATAACAGTTTGTGTCAGGAGGATGATAAATTGTGTAAATAAGTCTTCATTACTACACCATCTGTTGTTTTGACAGAGGGCCCAAGTGAGGTGGAACACAACTATCTGTAGTAAGAGCACAAATCAGGAAGATCCCTTTCAATATGACCTTTACACCAGCACAAGTTATAGTAAGAACTTGTCAAAACGAGTGGATAGGTAATTGATACATAAATATGACTTTTGACACTATAATTTCGATATTAAAACAAATGGAGGCGAAACTAACATATCTTTAGTATGGCTTTCGGTAAACCGCAATTGAATACAGTAGTTTCCTCGTCAAACAAAGACAGACACAAAATCATTGCCCTTGTCATTTTCAGCCAGATTTATACACACTATTTAAGACAGCAGAATATGGTACATGAGTCAAATGAACAGTTGACAAGTACAACAATAAAGAAAGTGTTAATTAAAGCATTTTAGTTTCAAAACAATGTAAGGGCAAATATAACGGTTGCTCGGCTGTTCGTTGCTCAAAAACAGTCCCCAAAGTCATTGGTTTAGTCCTTAATAGAGAAGACTCCATTTTATATTACCATCTTGGCAAAAACTTGATTTCCCATATCCCTCAAGGCATCTCAAAATGAATAACATGGCGCATTGTCCTAGTTCCATCTTCCAATGTCTTGTCCTTTTGTTTGTACAGACGAAAACCAAAGCAATATTGAAAGCTTTAAAAAAAAAAAAAATATATATATATATATATATAGTCAACTAAGTCCACTGGAGTTAAACTTGTAAACTACACTGCTTATATGTGGTTGCACCTGTAGTGAGCCATATAGTGATTGGACTATTTTCGTCCATTTAGGTCAAACTTTATTTCATTCTCCCTTATTGCCAGGTATCTACTTAGTAGTTCTTTCTGATAATTACTTGAAATGAATTGTTAACAATTGTCACTTTCCTATATTTGTGACGAAGAATCCCCAAGTAATATATGTGTGCCACAAAAGCAAATACATTTAAAGTATAGTATATGTATGTGATCCCTACAGGAAATGAACCCACAAACCAGTAAGTCATTTTGGAATAATAATTATGTCATTATGCTGTTACCATGTGGTTTCTAAGTAAAAACATGATAATTAGGGGAGAGTAAAATACAGTGCTACCTCTACTTCTTATACAGTCACTAATGCTTGAGGTCTTAACTTACCTGCTTAAATAAGGAAGGAAGAATAAATAAACAAATCATTAGCATCATAAACAGCGTTGAGAATTAGATCATCCTAATTATGGAAATGTAAAGGACTCAAGTGTGTGTGTGTGTGTGAGCGTGTATGACTGTGTGTTTGTGCATGTTTGTATCTGCGTGTCATATTTTTGTATGTGTGTCTCTCAGCACAAACTGCTATCTATACACGTCCGCATTCAACATCCTAATGCACAGAAGCAGCTACCCAACCAATATCATTCATGCAGTATCGCATTCAATTAAATAGACAAAACCCATCAGGTTTGTTATCCATTTACTGCTTTTATATTTGCTGTCCATTTCTTGCATATTCTTCTTTGGAATATCATTGCATAACTCCCTTCCTGTTATTCACGCCACTCTAATAGGTCCTCATTGGTCCAGCATCGATTCCAAAAGGGAGCAGTACAAATCCAAATAATCCCAAGCGAGAAATACGAAAGAATATAACGTAAAGTCACATATTGCCACTGGTCGTGTACTGTAAAGCAAAAGCCACAGAACAAACATATAGATCTATATTTGAAAATTAATGATACTTCCTTTTTAGTGTAAAAAGAGGAAGACTATTTCAAGTTCAGTTCTCTTGTTCTCTTCGGCCTATTTTTGAGAGTAGGGGAGGTGGGGCCCAGTCTTTGTTTCTGGAGGGTCATTAGCAGTGTGACACGTCAGGCTCTCGTGGTGGTTCTGCTGTGGCTTCGCTCTCCTCTGGAATGTCCTGAAGATCTGAGTAAAGAGACACAATTAGCCAATTAACAATTTATTATAATTGCCATAGATAGTTGTTCATCACAGATTCTTTAGAATAGTGGTTATTTTCATGCAAACCTGGATCGTACTGTACTCTCTTTTGTTACGTTGGGCTGCAGATCATTAGTGTAGTGCGTGCCTTTCCTGGCACATACGTTTATACGCTTTTTGGCATATGTAATCTTGGATGCTAGCCTATCTTAAGTCAGCTATACATACAAGACAGAGAGAGACAGTACAGAGAGAGAGAGACACAGACACACACAGGACAGAGAGACAGAGAGAGAGAGAGAGAGACACAAGAGAGAGAGAGAGAGAGAAGAGAGAGAGAGAGATATAGAGAGAGAGACAGACAGACATCCCAGAGACAGACAGACAGACAGACAAGACATACAGACAGACAGACAGACAAGAAGAAGACAGACAAAGACAGACAGACATACAGACACAGACAACAGACATACAGAGACAGACAGACAGACGGCATACAGACAGACAACAGACAACAGACAACAGACAGAAGACAGACAACAACAGTACATCAACAACATACAGACATACATACAACAACATACATACATACATACATACAGAATACATACAACATACAGACATACATATCATACATACATACAACATACATACATACATACATACATACATAATACATACATACATACATACATACATACATACATACATACATACATACATACATACATACATACATACATAGAGAGAGAGAGAGAGAGACACCAGCACTGTAATTTCTCATCAGGGAGTAGAATGAGTGAGCTGAGTACTAGCCCTGGAAAGACATCTCCACCCACACACCTAACACTGACAGAAGCTGAGAGATATGAGGTGTTCGCATGCGCACATGCACACAGAGAGAACATGAGGTGAGAAGGGCAGCGATGGTGTGTGTGTGTGTGCCAGAAAGAGAGTTTGTGCCTCATCACAAAATAGATATGTTATATAAAACTGTGTGTGGGCTTGCATTAGCATTATTGAGAGGACAGAGGTGAGCTCATCTCTGATAAAGCACATCTCTGTATAATGATACTGCAGTGGGGATATCCCCTATTGGGAATGTTATAATTTATTTATATTTCGTATATTGCAGCTTTTTGCTGTTTTAACAGAATGGCTCTGTACTGAAAGCCCTGACATGAACAACACTAAAGCAAATGTTTAGAAAAACTAAAGGATCTACAGCAGGGCCGGCGTTACAGGCGGGCCTTAGGGAGCCTGGCCCACCCTACCATAGAATACCTCCTGGCCCCTCCAAATAAAATGCATGGTTGAATGAAATGTACAGTATCTAAATTATAAGTAATTTATTTATTTTTTGCTATAAGACTATTATATGATATTTAGCCCATTTAACATTTAAATTACCCCCCAAAATATTTGTATGTTAAATATGGCTCAAGTAATTATGATTGACTGTTTTAGACCCATCATAAATGCATCATGAAGCCATGTCTCTTTTTACCGCCATTTCAAATTAATAGTGGGTGGAGTGTTCGGTAAACACAAGTGTGCCTCAGTGATCAGTAGACCTGGCTACCGTCAAAATGGATATTAGAAATTGGTTTAAAAAGAATGCACCATCTGCTACAACAAGTGCCGCTGAAACTCTGCTTGTCGAAACCACTGCTACAGTTGCTGGTGATCATGGCAATGACGAGCATCATCGGATACATTGACGGTACTCATGTCCAGATACAGGCCCCTTCTGACCATGAGTACCTACAGTGCCTTCAGAAAGTATTCATACCCCTTGACTTATTCTACATTTTGTTGTGTTACAGCCTGAATTCAAAATGGATGATCATTTTCTATAATTAAATTTACATGAGTATGTCTCATTAATAACTTCACCATGCTCAAATGAATATTCAATGTCTGCTTCTTTTTTTTTTCTCCCAATCTACTAATAGGTGCCCTTCTTTGTGAGGCATTGGAAAACCTCCCTGGTCTTTGTGGTTGAATCTGTGTTTGAAATTCACTGCTCAACTGAGGGACCTTACAGAAGTCATTCAAAAATCATGTTAAACACTTATTGCACACAGAGTGAGCCCATGCAACTTATTTACATTTTAGTCATTTAGCAGACGCTCTTATCCAGAGCGACTTACAGTTAGTGAGTGCATACATTTTCATACTGGCCCCCCGTGGGAAACGAACCCATAACCCTGGCGTTGCAAGCGCCATGCTCTACCAACTGAGCTACAGGGGACTACACTTATGTGACTTGATAAGCACATTCTTACTCCTGAACTTATTTAGGCTTACCATAACAAAGAGGTTGAATACTTATTGACTCAAGATTAGTTTGTACAAACTTCAAAAAACATAATTCCACTTTGACATTATGGTGTATTGTGTGCCATTGACAATAAATCTAAATGTACTCCATTTTAAATACAGGGGTGTGAATACTTTCTGAAGGCACTGTAGCTACATTTACACAAACAGCAAACCATTAACTCATCATCACCCAGACATTGATTGACATGTACAGTTGTCCAGTTCCCTCCCTACATACAAGTCCTCAATGTGGGTATCATGTGTTTGTTGATGAATATTCAATGGTACATTTGAAGCGGCTGTCAACCCCTAGGCTAATGTTTCTCTCATGGAATGTCATTCCTTGAGCACTATATCATAGAAAGTTATATATGCATTAGCCATAACAAAGGGGTTGAATACTTATTGACTCAAGACATTTCAGCTTTTCATTTGTAATTAATTTGTAAACATTTTTAAAAACAATTTCACTTTGACATTATGGGGTATTATGTGTAGGACAGTGACAAATCATCTAAATGTAATCCATTTTAAATTCAGATCCTACGAGAGAGCGCACACCAGTGGGAGTTTGAAGAGGTTAGATATTGTGGCATCCTGCTGGGGGACACTAAAAAGGTGGCTGATGACACTAGTGTTGGCACACAGACAGACTAGGAGCGGGAGTACAACAATGTTCATGCCTAGGCGAGGTGCCTTATTGAGCGCTACATAGGGATGCTGAAGCACAGGTTAGTAGCTTACTTTTTCATTAGGCTATGACATGCAGCAAATAACATAAGATGATACCGAATAATAGGACACAGTGTTGCGTTACCGCAGTCTTATTGCATTGTACTCCCACTAGGTTCCACTGCCTACATGGAGAGATAAGAATAGCACCAGAGAGGACCTGAACTGTTATCGCTGCCACAGTGGTACTGCATAATATCTGCGTGGAGTAGAGGCTGCCCCATCCCATGATTGAGCCAGGGCACAGGGTCATGGAAAACCATAGGGAACCTGCTGGTCCAGACGACATCAGAGGTTGACTCTTCCGGAATCAAATCATCAATCAAATGTAGCCAACAGGTCTAGGCCAGGGATCATCAACTAGATTCAGCCGTGGGCCAATTTTTTCTTGAGCGGATGGTCAGGGGGCCAGAATATAATTAGAAATAATTTGTAAACTGAAAATTTACTGCAAGTAGCCCAAACAGGTATAATATTTGACTAAAACAATCATTTAAAACCTTGCTTACATTTGTATACGATCACATACACTATATATGCAAAAGAATGTGGACATCCTTCAAATTAGTGGATTCGGCTATTTCAGCCACACCCGGTGTATAAAATTGACAGGTGTATCAAATTGAGCACACAGCCATGCAATCTCCATAGACAAACATTGGCAGTAGAATGGCCTTACTAAAGACTTCACCTGCATCTTTTCTTGCGCTTGTCATGAGATCTTTCCATTTCTTGCGCACCTCTTCCACTGACCTGCAGCCAAGCTCCCCACTCTCCTCATTTACTTTACTACTTCCAGGTTGAGTTTTCCTTCCTGTTTGTAGCGGTGCTATTCAACTTAGCTGTTAGAATTGTAGCTAAGCAATGAGCGCTGCCTAGCAACCGTCACTACGAATCTTCTAATCTCATGAATGCGCATTACGCTGGATTTAGCTACAAATAGTCTTATTTTTGGTTGGTGCAACAGGTGTAAATTCTGATCACAACGTCGGACGCAGCTACGCCCGACCTAGCATTTAAGACCAACCTTTTTACACAGGCTGGTGCAACCGGCCCCTGGTGCCAAAACTTTACTGCAGTGTGTCAGCAAATTAGAGGTTTCTCCTATTCATCTAAGGCATAGATACTTATAGGTTTGCACTTTCATCTGTGTCTGGTGTTAGCTAGCAACTGGCTAGCTAGGTCTTCAGCCAGCATGGAACAAAAGCGGGGGAAGGGTTGCCCAAAACTCATCTTATTACATCAAGAGACATGCCTAACGGAAGATTTACACACCTCGGGGACTCTCTGAGCGCGGTGACGCTTTGGCCTCCTCCTCATCTGACGTCACCTCCACCTCCACATCACTGACATCCTGATGCCCCTCCGAATGCGCGATTGACTGCTGGCTGGCCAATTGGGTGTCTGCGTTAGTTTCACTTGCTCTACGAAGGGGTGGAGCCTAGGCAAGATGACAAGTGTTAAGTGGAACGACAAACCAAATCAATTGTGACACCTATTGACACTTTATTTCTAATGTATAACCTATATTAGCTCAACTCAGTTGATTGAGAGCATATTCCCATTATCAGATTCTCATCTACAACAATAACCTGGCTAAGAATAGGTGCACCCCCCTATAGTTAAGCTAAGTGCAACTACCCACAGTGCCAGAGAGTAGCTCTACCTGCTCTGAGCCTGCAGTTCCCACGCTGTCCACCATGGTGGCACTGTGGGCCTTCATGTCGCGGACCTGCCTCTCCAGCTGGGTTCGGGCCTTTTCGCTATCCCTCAGGCGGCCCTCGGCCCCCCGCAGTCTACCCAGCTCCTCCTGCAGGAGGCTGTGCTGCCTCTGGAGCAGGGCCAGCTCCCCAATGGCCGCCCCCGTGCTGGCCTCGGCCATGCCTGCGTCACGTGACAGGGAGCGCCACACCCGCCCGGTGGGCGTGGTTGGGGCATCGACTGGCGGGCCATCGGAACGCAGGCAGAGCTCCAGGATGGAGTCCTGCTTGATCACAGTGCCCTGGGAGAGGAAAAAGAGAGTAAGAGTAAATTACAAGTGAATGAAGGGAGATATGAGGAGACTGGTCCATGTGACAGGGGTTTGAGAAACAGCTTCTATCTCCAGGCCATCAGACTGTTAACCTCTACGGGATTGGTGTCGCGTATACGGGACGGTTGAGCCAACGTTCGCTAATGTGATTAGCATGACTGTAGCATGGATTTTATCAAAAAAAACTATTTTTATATTCAAATGTAGCCATTTCTAAGATGAAAAAACATTTTTTTGGTATCATCTTTTACCAGATCTAATGTGTTATATTCTCCTACATTAATTACACCTTTCCACAACCTTCAAAGTGTTTCCTTTCAAATGGTATTAGGAATATGCATATCCTTGCTTCAGGGCCTGAGCTACAGGCAGTTAAATTTGGGTATGTCATTTTAGGCGAAAATTGAAAAAAAGGGTGTGATCCTTAAGAGGTTAAACAGTCACCACTAGCCGGCCTCCGCCCAGTCCCCTGCCCTAAACCTTAGTGTTCTAGCCGGCTACCACCCGGTACTCTACCCTGCACCTCAGAGACTACTGCTCTATGTACATAGAGTCATTGAACACTGGTCACTTTAATAGTGTTTACATACAGTTTCATCCACTTGATATGTATATACTGTATTCTAGTCATGGCTCATCCTATATAAATTCAACCCCCAAAAAAATCTGGATCCATTTATAGATGCCACAATAGAAAATACATGCATTTTGTTAACTGTGAGATAATGGAAGGAAAATAATAAAGAATATTTGACTAAGGTCTGGTACAAAGAGATGCATCCACTGACCTGGAGGGCATGAAGTTGGGCACTAAGGTTGACCAGCCTCTGATACACTTCCTGAAAAACACACACACCATCAGTGAATACAATAGTTAGCCATGTACAGATAAAGTGACAGTAGTTCATTATGAGACAGTGTTGATTCAGTGAGCATTTACTACTGTACCTCAGTTGGGGGCCTATCTCCAGCCTGATTCCCATTCCAGTCCTGGGAAATTTGAAATATTATACACTTAAACAAGTTGAAACTATTGTTTATTCACAACATGTCAGAAAGCAATACCAGATGAATTGGTGTAAGAATAAATAAAATAAATGAAACTCCAATTAATGCCACAGAGGTAAACTGATAAGAATTTCATGCAAACATAATACTTTAAACAAAAATATCTGTATGATCCTCATATCATGTCACGCTTGTTGTATAAAGGATCGGACCAAGGTGCAGTGGTATGCGTACATAGTCATTTATTATTATAAACACCGACAAAATCCAACAGAATGTGAAGTTCAAGAGGCTAAACATCCAACAAGCCAAACAGAAACAAGATCCCACAACATAGGTAGGCAAAATGGCTGCCTAAGTATGATCCCCAATCAGAGACAACGATCGACAGCTGCCTCTGATAGGGAACCACACCCAGCCAATATAGAAATAGAATAACCTAGATTCTATCCAAATCACACCCTGACCTAACCAAACAGAGAATACAGGTGATCTCTGAGGTCAGGGCGTGACATATCACTTGGTTTCTGTCTTTTGAGATTCCAAATGCCATTAAATGAAGCAAATTACTCACTGTTTGATTGTATTATAGAATTGCTTCTTATCACAATAGAAATTCCATTCCTTTGGTGGAGGTGAAAAATGTTTGGTAACAAACTATACTGAACAAAAATATAAAACGCAACATTTTTAAAGATTTCACAGAGTTACAGTTCATATAAGGAAATCAGTTAATTAAAATCAATTCATTAGGGCCTAATCTATGGATTTCACATGACTGGGAAAACAGATATGCATCTGTTGGTCACAGATAACTTTTTCTTTTTTAAAAGTAGGGGTGTGGATCAGAAAACCAGTCAGTATCTGGTGTGACCATTTGCCTCATGCAGCGCGACATCTCCTTCGCATAGAGTTGATCAGGCTGTTGATTATGGCCTGTGGAATGTTGTCCCACTCATCTTCAATGGCTGTGCGAAGTTGCTGGATATTGGCGGGAACTGGAACACGCCGTCGTACACGTCGATCCAGAGCATCCCAAACATGCTTAATGGGGGGCATGTCTTGTGAGTATGCAGGCCATGGAAGAACTAGGACATTTTCAGCTTTGTTTCAGAACATTAAATTAAATTATCTGGAAACAGCTCTGGGAGGACATTCCTGCAGTCAGCATGCCAATTGCAAGCTCCCTCAAAACTTGAGACATCTGTGGCATTGTGTTGTGTGACAAAACTGCAAATTTTATAGTGGCCTTTTATTGTCCCCAGCACAAGGTGCAGCTGTGTAATGATCATGCTGTTTAATCAGTTTCTTGATACGCCACACCTGTCAGGTGGATGGATTATCTTGGCAAAGGAGAAATGCTCACTAACAAGGATGTAAACAACATTGTGCACAACATTTGAGAGAAATAAGCTTTTTGTGCAAATGGAACATTTCTGGGATCTTTTATTTCAGCATTTTACATGGTGCGTTTATATTTTTGTTCAGTGTACTTTTCAACTTTGATGAATATTTCTAAGTAAACCAGTAGGGTTTCATTGTGAAACATTCATGTTATTGTCACAACATTTCAGAATAGAGTTGTCAAACAGGCTTCAGAAAAGAATGGTGATTGGAAAAATGGATGTTGCCATGGATACTCCAAGGCACTGTTTGAAACAGAGCTGTCAAGCTATAATAACTCAGAGAGCGGAAGACTCGGATAACGGAAGCCTTCACTTGAAACTTCAAACATAAAGCCTTGGTCATGTTCATTAGGCACCAAACAGAAATTGGACTGAAACAGAGAGGGACTACATGGACAATTTTTGTTCCCAAACGTTTTCACGTTTTCACTTTAGACTAACTTTATCAACTGGTGGCACTAGTGCTACTAACTTCTTCAGTTGATGGCATCGGCACATGATTTGGTCGCACCAATAATGACCTGAGTCCCATAATGTACCTGCATTCCATACAGAACCAGGCTAATAATGACTAGCCATCTTTTAAAGTAGCATGCCCTTGCAGGGCTTGATGCCTATTCCCCCTCAGGAGGCTGAAAAGATTTGGCATGGGCCCTTAGATCCTCAAAAAGTCCTACAGCTGCACCATTGAGAGCATCTTGACTGGCTGCATCCTCACTTGGTATGGCAACTGCTTGGCATCCGACCGCATGGCGCTACAGAGGGTAGTGCGTTCAGCCCAGTACATCACTGGGGCCGAGCTCCCTGCCATCCAGAACCTCTATACCAGGCGGTGTCAGAGGAAGGCCCAAAACATTTTCAAAGACTCCAGCCACCCAAGTCATAGACTGTTCTCTCTGCTACCGCATGGCAAGCGGTACCGATGCACCAAGTCTGGAACTAACAGGACCCTGAACAGCTTCTACCCCCCAAGCCATAAGACTGCCAAATAGTTAGTCTGGGTAGCTATTGGTTAACTAATTAACTATCTGCATTGACCCTTTTTGCACTAACTCTTTTGACTCATCACATACGCTGCTGTTACTGTTACAATGAGTAATTTTGCTTGGGACCTGAAGAATTCTGTTAGCTTCCCAAGCTAAGGACTTGGCTTTAGCTAAACAAGCTAACACATTATTGTGGCGCATGGGAGACCTTGGTTCTAAGCCTGGTCGACCACAGTAAATGACCATGCTATTATTATTATTATTATTATTATTATTATTAAGACCTCACCTTTGTTGCTGGGCACCTGTGCATTCCATTGAGAACCACCTCCTGACCATCTACAAACAAACAATGGTCACTCAATGGTCATTGCTCACAGTGCTATGGAGACTAGACTACTGTAAGCCTTGTCAATCAATGGCACAGAGGAGTCACTCACTGATCACTAGTGCTCCCGTGTGGTTCGGGTGACTGTTGAAACTGCAGGGCAGAGGCACTTCAAAGGTGGAGCCCAGCAGTAACTCACTCAGCCTATCCACTGGGAGACACAAAGACATACAATACAACATCAGTGCCTTAACAAAATGTATGGTGCATTCATTTCAGCTCACCCATGACACAGTGTAGGTAGAGTTTTCAAATTTTAGACCGTTCCATTGGTCCTAAAGTCAAATCTCCACCCACATGGAAAATATATGGAAGAATCTAACAAAGTAATACATATGGCAGCAAATACACTAACAAGATTAATACAAAAATAATTATGAACATTAACAAGAATCTTGTATGGCAGAAGAAGTAGAATAATTATCTGTTAAGATTCTCTCGATAGCACATTGGTAGTAGTCAGTGACAAATATAAAAACTAAGCAGGGCTGGGCTTGGTTAAAACCCTGGACGGGGGACCAAAGGGATAGCTGTAGATAAATCAACTGTCCAGTAGGAGGTGCTGCCCAGCCTATTGCTTTTTTAACCATGGAAACTCATAGATGTAATTTTCATGTTGTTTTTTATATATTGTCTTATAAAAACAATGTGAAACCTATAACGAAAGCATTTCTTTTGTAAAGGTTACAGTGTCAGAACATACACTTTTCTTATAATAATCGTTGTTTCTCACACGTTTCCCAATTTTGTTGTAGCTCTAAACTCGCTCACCTGATTAACCTATTCAAGGGATTGATGATCAGTGACAAGTTGAATCTGGTGTGCTAGCTCTGGAATAGATCAAATACATGGAACGGCTGGCGGTATAGTCTATATAACACACTGTGGTTGTTAGAATCTAATATCACAAACAGAACTGGAGTTATAACCAGTTTTAGAAGGGGCATGTCATTTGTTGAATGGTTTTCCCCCATTGCCACTCCTTCTCCCGACAGTAGGGCCTGCTCCGCTCCTTCTTCCGACATGAAGGTGCCATGCCCAGTTGATAATCACCCCAATAATTGCCTCAACTGAACCTAAACTAATTTCACACATGTAACAAGTAAAGTATGATGGGGAAGAAAGGGTGAGTTGATGAGCGAGGGGAAGCGAACAATGATTAATTATGTAATCACCAATTATGAATGAAGAACAGTGCGGGCCATTCTATTATACTAATCTATTCTAATTATAATCTCAAAATGGTATTTACCCTATATCAGGCCACCGAATCCAAGCAGTTTTATCAATCTACTCTGGCCTACTTGGAGTACATACACAGTGAGAGCGTGCGTAATTTACAACGGCAAGAAGACCAAGACGAATGGATGCACATGCTGCGTTAGCGCTGCTACAAGATCTGGATGAAAAGACTCAGATGGTGGGGAAGAAATTTATCATGACATCTCTGATGATTTTTCTTCTGATTCTGAGCCTCAGTCTGAACCTACACCTCAGAGGCCAAAAAAGCCAAAACGGTGCGCACTGAGCAGGTGCCCGCACCACCACCAAATGAAACTGTAGTGAAACGAAACAGTGAGACAGGAGAAAGGAAGGGACGGCACCATTTGGATAGAACAAGCCAGTGACAATGCTAAGAGCCGATTATCAGCACAAAATGTCATCACTGAGAGAGCAAACCTTACATCTCAAGCAAAAACCAACATCAGCAATGAACTCGTTGTGACATGGACATGCTCCAACTGCTGTCATTGCATGAAGAAGCACACCATGTAAGCACGAGCATAGCGACACTTAAATGTATTATAATGCCATTATTGCTTTTGTGCTGATTTTCTTGAAACTGAGAAACTTGCTCTCCATCCCTCCGTCTATTACCCTACCTCTCTTTTTCACTTTTTCTCCCCCACCCCCCCTCTCCCTTCCCCCCACCCCCACCACCACCACCACCAACCCCTCACCCTCTGCGATGGCATCGGTGAGCAGTCTCTCGCCGAGCGGCACCTGGGGCATGTCGGCCCGGAACAGGTTCCGGGAGTTGGGGCCCCCTGGCAGCATGACCTCCTGGCCCCCTGTCACCTCGGCCAGGTCCGAGAACAGGGTGACTCGCTCCTGGAGCAGCTCCAGCACCTCCCGGTCCTTCTGCTGGATATCCGCTGGAAGGAGAGATTAAGGTGGAGAGAGGAAGATGGAGGGGAGGAAGGGATGGAGGGGGGAAAGAGAGATGGAGTAGAGAGAAGGGGAGAGAGAAAGAGGGAAGGAGGAAGGGGAGAGAGGGAAAAGCTGACATGATGCTTCTCCTTAAGACCTTGACTTAACAGTGGGGGGCAATCCTATTCACACATTGTTCAGTTGGATGTTGGCTATAAGAGATAGCGAGAGAAGGGGATGAAGGGAGAGGGGAGTGCAGGAGTACAAGTGAGCAAGAAAGATTGTGTCCGAGAGAAAGAGAAAATGAGAGAGAGTGACAGAGAGAGAGAGAGCAAGAGTGAAAATGAGAGAGAGAAAGGCTGTGATGGATAGATAGAGTTTGATGAGATCCTCCACTGGGCCTGAGTAGGAGTCAGGCTTCACACTTATCCTCCTACACACAGAGCGAGAACTGCACATTGTACTGTACGCAGCATGTAGAGAGAAAGAAAGATGGGGGGGTGGGGAATGCAAAGGGAAGGGAGAGAGATAAAGATTGAAAGGGAGAGGTGGAGAGAGAAAAAGGAAGGGATGGATATGGTCAAAGGGATTGATAGAGAAAGAGAACAATGGAGTGGTAGAAAGGAAGAGAGATAGAGAGGGTAGTGTAGAGAATAATTGAAATATGGAGTTCCTATGTGGAAACACTTGATTAGCAGGTAGACGGCTAGTGATGGTTGTTCAACAGTCTGATGGCCTGGAGATAGAAGCTGTTCTTCAATCTCGCGGTCCCGGCTTTGATGCACATGTACCGTCTCTGTCTGCAAGATGGTAGTAGAGTGAAAAGACAGTGACTTGGGTGGCTGAGGTCCTTGATGATCTTCTTGGACTTCCTTTGACACGGAGTGCTGTAAATGTTCTGGAGGGCAGGCAGCTTGCCCCCGGTGATGCGTTCGGCTGACCGCACCACCCTCTGGAGAGCCATGCGGTTGAGGGAGGTGCAGTTTCTGTACCAGGCGGTGATGCAGCCCGACAGAATGCTCTCAATGGTGCATCTGTAGAAGTTTGTGAGGGTCTTGGGGGCCATGCAAGGTGTCTGTGTGGTTGGACCATTTCAGGTCCTCAGTGATGTGCACGCCAAGGAACTCAAAGCTTTTGGCCCTCTCCATTGCGGCCCTGTCGATGTGGATGGGGGCGTGCTCCCTCTTCTGTCTCCTGTAGTCCACATTCAGCTCCTTTGTTGTTGTTTTTTACGTTGAGGGAGAGGTTATTTTCCTGGTACCACTCCGCCAGGGCTCTAGACTCCTCCCTGTAGGCGGTCTCATCATTTTTGGTAATCAGGCCTACCACGGGAGAACTTTCTTTAGATTTCCTTTGTTAAAGTCCCCAGCTACAACAAATGCGGCCTCAGGATATGCGGTTTCCAGTTTGCTCAAAGTCCCGTATAGTTCCTTGAGTGCCACCGTGGTGTCGGCTTGAGGGGGGATATAAACGGCCATGACAATAACCGATGAGAATTCTCTTGGGAGGTAATCGGCATTTGATGGAGAGGTACACTACCGTTCAAAAGTTTGGGGTCACATAGAAATGTCCTTGTTTTCCATGAAAACATACATGAAATGAGTTTGAATAGGAAATATAGCAAAATGAGCAGGAAATGTAGTCATTGACAAGGTTAGAAACAATGATTTTTAATTTAAATAATAATTGTGTCCTTCAAACTTTGCTTTCGTCAAAGAATCCTCCATTTGCAGCAATTACAGCCTTGCAGACCTTTGGCATTCTAGTTGTCAATTTGTTGAGATAATCTGAAGAGATTTCACCCCATTCATCCTGAAGCACCTCCCACAAGTTGGATTGGCTTGATGGGCACTTCTTACGTACCATACGGTCAAGCTGCTCCCACAACAGCTCAATAGGGTTGTGATCCGGTGACTGTGCTGGCCACTCCATTATAGACAGAATACCAGCTGACTGCTTCTTCCCTAAATGGTTCTTACATAGTTTGGAGCTGTGCTTTGGGTCATTGTCCTGTTGTAGGAGGAAATTGGCTCCAATCAAGCACCGTCCACAGGGTATGGCATGGCGTTGCAAAATGGAGTGATAGATCCCTTTTACCCTGTACAGATCTCACACTTTACCACCACCAAAGCACCCCCAGAGCATCACATTGCCTCCACCATGCTTGACAGATGGCATCAAGCACTCCTCCAGCATCTTTTAATTTGGTCTGCATCTCACAAATGTTCTTCTTTGTGATCTGAACACCTCAAACTTCGATTTGTCTGTCCATAACACTTCTTTCCAATCTTCCTCTGTCCAGTGTCTGTTCTTTTGCCCATCTTAATCTTTTCTTTTTATTGGCCAGTCTGAGATATGGCTTTTTCTTTGCAACTCTGCCTAGAAGGTCAGCATCCCGGAGTCGCCTCTTCACTGTTGACGTTGAGACTGGTGTTTTGCGGGTACTATTTAATGAAGCTGCGAGTTGAGGACCTGTGAGGTGCCTGTTTCTCAAACTAGACACTCTAATGTATGTGTCCTCTTGCTCAGTTGTGCACCGGGGCCTCCCACTCCTCTTTCTATTCTGGTTAGAGCCAGTTTGCGCTGTTCTGTGAAGGGAGTAGTACACAGCGTTGTAAGAGATCAATTTCTTGCATTGAATAGCCTTCATTTCTCAGAACAAGAATAGACTGACGAGTTTCAGAAGAAGGTTCTTTGTTTCTGGCCATTTTGAGCCTGTAATCGAACCCACAATTACTATTGCTGATGCTCCTGATACTCAACTAGTCTCTGATTAAAGTTGCTTCTTTAATCAGCACAACAGTTTTCAGCTGTGCTAACATAATTGCAAAAGGGTTTTCTAATGATCAATTAGCCTTTTAAAATGATAAACTTGGATTAGCAAACACAACGTGCCATTGGACTGATGGTTGCTGATAATGGGCTTCTGTACGCCTATGTAGATATTCCATTAAAAATCAGCCGTTTCCATGAGTTATTAATCATGAAACATACATGTCCACCTTTGCTTTTCCTTTTTTCTATCTTCCTGTCTGCGCAATGTACGGAGAAGCCAACAGACTGTATGGACGGAGAAGGTGTAGCTGGGGAGAGCCATGTCTCTGTAAAACAAATTATGTTACAATCTCGTGTCCTTCTGGAAGGAGATACTCGCCCTGAGCTCATCAAACTTATTGTCCAGAGACTGTACATTAGCAAGTAATATACTCGGAAGCGGTGGGTGGTTTGGCCTCCTACTGAGACTGACTAGAACGACAGCTCTCCTACCTCTCCTTGGCAGCATCTTTTTGGTAGAGCACCCAGGATGAATGGAGCGGCTCTGTCTAATCCAAACAAAGGGTTCAGGTCTGGGAAGTCAAATTTGTGGTCCAAAAGATCTTGTCGATTATAGGAAATGATACCATAAATGTTCTGAGCAAATAAAGTAAATGAAATTCTGCAAAGTTGGCTAGGAGCTAGAAATAGGGCCGCCGTGTCTGTCGGCGCAATCGTGCCATCACTACGTTACATATAGATCTGTATGACTGGGTGTGTGTGTGTTCATTGCTGACCTTTCAGTCGTCTCAGCAGGGCCTTGTCTTCAGTCTCTATGAGTGGGAACTCTTCCCTGGAAGGACAACTGCAGAGACAGAAAATATTTTGACTATATGAGCAGTGTGTGTCTGTCTGTGTGTGTGTGTCTGTGTGTGTGTGTGTGTCTGTGTCTACCTCCTGACAGTGTGTTGTATGAGGCGTATCCAGGTGTTCTTGTCATCTTTCGAGGCAGCGTGGACCTCATACATCTCCGGAGGGGAGGAGTCACTGATGAGGAAGAGCCCTCGCTCCTGATTGGCTATCTCCCTAATCATGAGGTTCTGCAGGGAGAGGACCGGAGACTTGTCCTGCAAAGAGAACGAGGGAGAGGAGAGAAAGAAGGGGAGTTGCTATATTCCCTGACCTCCCCATACAGTATATTCAATTGTGACGAAACAAGTCTCTCTATATACACACACAAGTGTTTTTTGTTTGATGTAAATTATTAGTCAGTGTGAGTGAGTGAGTGAGTGAGAGAGAGAGTGTGTGTATGCTTGTGTGTGTGTACTTACTAGACAAGGGAAGATGAACCTCTGGTCTTTCTCCTGTAGGAACACTAGGATGTCGGTCATCAGCAGGACCTGCACATCTAAACATTAAAACATGGGTAAGCAACATGTTTTGGGGATAGTTCCATCCCCTACAAACTTCTGTGACAAATTAAGCTAGTGGAGGCTGGTTTCCATGTGTTTGATACTGTTGATACATACATTCCATTCAAGCCATTACAAAGAGCCTGTCCTCAGCCTCTACACACACACAGACCCTTCAACCCACACACACCTTTGAGCCTGGACCCAGGGGTCTTCCAGAGCAGCATTCCCTCATGGATGAGTCTCCTGCGGAGCAGCTCTCCTCCCCTGAACAGGCCACCGTCCCTCACCTTGGCCTCGGCCCGTGGGTCCAGCCTGGCCCGGATCTCCTGCAGCCTCTGGGTCCGCTCAAGCTCCATCACCTGGACAGCAGGGTCATGTTCAATAGGCAATGAATGGAAGCAAACGGACTGAAACAGGGAGGGACTACCTGGACTTGTTCAATGAGAATCATCCATTTCCATGCCCTAATGCAGTGGTTCCCAAACTGTGGGGGGTGCGAGGGGTCGCCTCTAAAATAAAAGAATATACACTATATATACACAAAAGTATGTGGCCACCCCATCAAATTAGTGGATTCGGCCATTTCAGCCACACCTCTGGCTGACAGCCAAGTGTATAAAATCGAGCACACAGCCATGCAATCTCCATACACAAACATTGGCAGTAGAATGGCCTTACATTGCCACATTTCTAACTAAACATACAATTCTCTGAGGTCATACACCCAAATATGTATGGACAGATTAAACACTAGGCTAAGCTATTTCATTACTTTAATTACCAGATGGTGTTTGAGATCATTGACTGTAAGAAAAAGCTTCAATAATATATCCTCATAATTTAACCATTTAAGGGGTTAGCCTAGTGTTTGCTTTGTATTCGGCATAGGGTAATTAATATGGAGGCTCATTCCTCGAGTGAACATCAGAGGGCTGTTAACATAGAGATCCTATTACATTATTATAATTCCTAATTCTATGGCAGACTTCATTTAACTAACACACCATTAATGCTGATGTCATTGTGAATGGTGGTGACTGGAAAGGGATCAGCTCTCACTTTAGCCCCCATTTGTTGGTGTTATAGGGACTTGCTTTGGACCCTGGCTGGCCTGTTATTACTTGTCTTTGTTTTCATTTACCCGGCATGGATTATTTCACTGTCCAGTGCAGCTGTCTAAACATCATGCAACCATCATCATCACCACCTCCACCCAACTAGCAGGGTTCTAAGAAACTCGAGAAAAGCCAAGAAAGGGGAAGAAAACTTAAATAAGCACACAAACTCTTCCCCCTGTATAATTTACAAAAAGTTGTGTTTCCTGTGGAAAGATGCCCCGTCACACCCCCCCCCAACCCAATGTCAAAGGGTAAAAGTCCTTACTGGAGTTATCTTGATAACATGCCCCACCCCTACTTGATTGTCATGGCACCAGTGCATACACTATATATACAAAAGTATGTGGACACCCATTTAAATTAGCGGATTCGGCTATTTCAGCCACACCCATTGCTGACAGGTCTATAAAATCGAGCACACAGCCATGCAATCTCCATTGACAAACATTGGCAGTAGAATGGCCTTACTGAAGAGCTCAGTGACTTTCAACGTGGCACCGTCATAGGATGCCATCTTTCCAACAAGTCAGTTTGTCAAATTTCTGCCCTGCTAGAGCTGTCCCGGTCAACTGTAAGTGCTGTTATTGTGAAGTGGAAACATCTAGGAGCAACAACGGCTCAGCTGCGAAGTGGTAGGCCACACAAGCTCACAGAACGGGACCGGCGAGTTCTGAAGCACATAGTGCGTATAAATAGTCTGTCCTCGGTTGCAACACTCACTACCGAGTTCCTAACTGCCTCTGGAAGCAACGTCGGCACAATAACTGTTCATCGCGAGCTTCATGAAATGGATTTCTATGGCAGAGCAGCCGCACACAAGCCTAAGATCACCATGCGCAACGCCAAGTGTATTTTTTTATTTTTATTTTTATTTATTTTTTGGGGGGGGGATGGATCAGCTTAATATTGCAGATAGATTGTATCTTCTATCAATGTAATTGTCTGCATCACTTCCAATCCCCCATGTTTAAAAAAAAAAATATATATATATATATATATATATATATATATATATATATATATATATATATATATATATATATATATATATATATATATATATATACTCCCCTTTATTACTTTTCAACCCCACCATCCTTTTCCTACTTGGAGTAAATTAGTGAACAACAATGCCCAGGCCTCTACTTCCGGTCTATATTTACTATCTACACCTTATGGACAGAGTTCATTTGACAATAATTCTATTATACATATATATATATTAAAAAAAAAATTTTGCTCCTGAACTTCTTCTACTCTCAACCTCTCCGATCATTTTCATGATGTCCATCCGGTTTGCTTCTATATGCCATATCTTTCTAACTGTGCTCTTTCCCAAAAGCTCCCAACATACAACCTATCTCTTAACACCATCCATATAGGATTTCTATTTGCCATATATATTTCAACCGTACTGTGATGTTTTACAAAAGTTCTGAACCTTTCTATTCTCATTGCTTCTACAGATTGTGAATTGTTTTTGGACCTGTGTCCAAAAACAAGCTACAAATGGACAGAACCAAAACAAATGATCTAATGATTCTGTCTCTTCACAGCAAAATCTGCAGAGCTGGGAAGATTGTATCCCCCATATAAATAACATTCTATTGGTAGCAAGAATTTTATATAATAATTTAAATTGAAAGATTCAAATTTTTGAATCCGGTGTCGTTTTGCGTGTCAGTTCATAAACACTATGCCATGGGATCGGTACGTCAAAGATCTCTTCCCAACAATTTTGCAATCTATATGGGACGGCTGTCAATCCTTTGGTCCTTAAGTGAAACTGATATACTTTTTTATTTATCACAGTTTTCCTTAACCAATTATGTTCTTTAATGCAAGGCCGACAGACAAGTTCCTTACTTTCTTTAGAAATAGTGACATTTGGGAGATTATTTCCTTTTCAAATAACTGAAAGTGAGAGGTTGTAATCTGAATAAAGGGAAAAAGGCCTTTCTTGAACATTGGGTGAGACAATCTTACTAATTTGCTTGAGAACCAGTTTGGATTTAAGTATAACTTTTGTATGACTGAAGCTTTTAGTGATAGGTCTAATGCTTTAATATTTAATAATTTCTGTCCTCCGAATTCTTATTCATTATATAAATATGCTCTTTTAATTTTGTCTGGCTTGCCGTTCCAAATAAAATTGAATATTTTTTTCTCATATAATTTAAAAAACTGTTCGCTAGGCGTAGGCAAGACCATAAGCAAATAGGTAAACTGGGATAATACTAAAGAGTTAATCAGGGTGATTTTCCCAGAAATTGACAGGTATTTTCCTTTCCATGGTAGTAAGATCTTATCTACTTTTGCTAACTTTCTATTAAAATGTATTGAAGTGAGATCATTTATTTCCTTTGGGATATGTATTCCGAGTATATCCACATCACCATCAGACCATTTTATTGATAAACTACATGGTAATGTAAAAATTGTATTTTTTAGTGATCCAATACGTAATATAGTACATTTGTCATAATTTGGTTGTAATCCAGAGAGGTTAGAAAATGTATCTAGATCCTCTATGAGGCTGTGGAGGGATTCTAGTTGTGGATTTAAAAGAAAACATGAATCATCAGCGTACAATGACACCTTTGTTTTTAAGCCCTGTATTTCTAATCCTCTGATATTATTATTGGATCTGATTTTAATAGCTAACATCTCGATGGCCACAATAAATAGATATGCCGATAGTGGACAACCTTGTTTCACTCCTCTTGACAGTTTAAAACTTTCTGAGAAATAGCCATTATTTACTATTTTACACCTAGGGTTACTATACATGATTTTGACCCATTTTATAAGGGATTCTCCAAAATTGAAATGCTCCAGGCATTTATATATAAACCCCAGTCGAACTTTATCAATTGCCTTTTCGAAGTCTGCTATGAATAGCAGACCTGGTTTCCCATATTTTCCATAATGTTCTATTGTTTCCAATACTTGCCTTATATTATCTCCAATGTATCTTCCATGTAAAAAACCTGTCTGATTAGAATGAATAATATCCGACAATACCTTTTTAATTCTATGCACTATACATTTTGCTAGGATTTTTGCATCACAACACTGAAGTGTAAGGGGCCTCCAATTTTGTAAATGGACTGGATCTTTATATTTTCCACTTGTATCCTGTTTCAGTAATAATGAGATCTTCTTCTTGAGTGTCAGATAATCTACCATTTACATAGGAGTGGTTAAAACATGCTAATAACGGTCCTCTTAGTATATCAAAAAAGGTTTGGTATACCTCGACTGGTATGCCATCCAATCCTGGAGTTTTCCCAGACTTAAAGTCTTTAATTGCATCCAGAAGTTCCTCCTCTGTAATTTCACCTTCACATGAGTCTTTCTGTGTGGCTGTTAATTTGACATTATCAATAGAAAAAAAATCTCTACAATTAGCTTCAGTTAGAGGAGATGGAGGCGACTGAAAAGAAAACATATGCTTAAAGTACTTTGTTTCTTCCTTCAAAATATCATTACATTTACATTTTTTTAAACATTTTTAGTCATTTAGCAGACACTCTTATCCAGAGCGACTTACAGTTAGTGAATACATATATATATTTTTTATACTGGCCCCCCGTGGGAATCGAACCCACAACCCTGGCGTTGCAAACGCCATGCTCTATCAACTGAGCTACATCCCTGCCGGCCATTACCTCCCCTACCCTGGACGACGCTGGGCCAATTGTGCGCCGCCCATGAGTCTCCCGGTCGCGGCCGGCTGCGACAGAGCCTGGATTCGAACCAGCATCTCTAGTGGCACAGTTAGCACTGCGATGCAGTGCCTTAGACCACTGCGCCACTGAGGAGTATCATTTGGTGAATTATGGGTGACTCCGTCAATTGTAACCAGTTTCTTTAAGTTCTTTTTGAAGATAAAAAAATAATTTTGTGCATTTTTCCCCATATTCCATCCAGTTTGCTTTATTTTTATAATATATTACACTTGATCTTTCTTGAATAAGTTTCTCCATTTCTTTTTGTTTTTCCTCTCATTTATTCTGAGCCTCTATGTTACAGTTTTTATTGCCATCTATCTGTTCTGTTAGACTTTCTATTTCCTTTCTTAGTATAAACTCTTTTGACCTAAATTGCTTTTGTTTTTGAGATGAGTACTGAATTGCATGGCCTCTAAAGGCACATTTAAAGGTGTCCCATACAATAAGGGGATTCGCTGTACCTATGTTATGTTGGAAAAGGTCAGTTATAAATTCCTTTGTTCTAATTATAAATAAATTATCATCCAATAGGCTTTGATTACATTTCCAATATCCTCGCCCACGTGGAAATTCAGTAAGAGTAATGTATATGCCTATTATATGATGGTCCGACCGCATTCTGTCCCCTATCAACACTTTTTTTTACTTTTGGTGCCAACGAGAATGAGATAAGAAAGAAGTCAAGACGACTAGCTTGATTCAGTCTCCGCCATGTATATCTCACTAGATCAGTATATTTAAGCCTCCATATATCTACTAGTTCTAATGTATCCATGACATTCACAATTTCCTTAAGAGCATGTGGGTGATTGTTTGTGGTGTGATTTCCTTTACGGTCCATTGAGCTATTTAAAACAGTATTATAATCCCCCACCATAATAATATTGTCTTGAGTTGCTTGCAGGCTTCATGATTTATTATATATATTGTCAAAGAATTGTGGATCATCATTATTTGGTCCGTAAAGGTTAATGAGCCATATCTGTTTATGGTCCAATAACATATTTAAAATAATCCATCTACCTTGCGTATCTATTTGGACAATTTGCACATTCGGATCGAAATTACTATTAATTAATATCATCACCCCTTTTGAATTTCTTTGCCCATGGGAGAAGTATATTTCCCCCCCCCCCCCCCATTCTTTTTTCCACGCTACTTCATCTCGAATTGTTGAATGAGTTTCCTGTATACAATAGATATTATATTCCTTCTCTTTGAGCCATGTAAATATTGTTCTTCTTTTGTTATTATCAGCTAAGCCATTACAATTATAACTGGCTATACTTATTTCACCATACACCATAACGAGATACAAGTTTCAAGTCTATTTATCATTATATATGTTTGTAAATTTACCAATAAAAAATAGCGTAATGATTGAGTGTCCATATAGCTGTACCGTGATATTTGCATTGCTACGGAGTAACCCTTCAATTGTTCTCCACTAATTCCCCCGCTAAAGCCCCTCCCCATCCCAAGTTGAGCCGTCATCCCAGTGATCAGCATCCCACCCACGTCCCTCCGTATCCCTAAGGCCCCGAGAGGCCAGGACCCATCCATCGAAAACAGCACACAGTGCCACCCACAAAACAGAAGCAGATTAACCGCCAAAAGCATTTCCAATGCTTTCACCTCATATATATATATATATCTGTATAACTATTTTTTTTTTTAATTATGCATATCCTATTTTCCATCATTATCAATTAATATGCGTAATAATGTCGGCAGTTCACGCGTAGGATTCTAACATATAACCCGGATTGCCATTGTATTACATTTAATTCATTGACAAGCAATTATTATCCTAGCAAATAATTCCCGTGGTCCATCCCATACCCTCCCCCCCAACATCCCCACCCCCCCACAACAGATGCCAGACAAGCACACACGCACATACTCACATACTCCAACACACTCAACCCCCCTCCTCCACAATCCACCATAAAATCAAATCGGCTGTTTTATCCCAGAGCCCAACTCGAGAAATAACTTGATTTACGAGTGCACATACAGTTAAAGCTGATTGAGAAAGCATTCAGATTGAGCAGAAATTGATAACAATGTGAGATTTGATTAATCTACTTAATCTATGTCAAGTCCTAGGTGATGGAGATCAGATCCACCCTCTTCATCTGAGACACAAACACTCTGATCCCCTATTGTAACCATTTTCCCAAGCATCTCCATGCGGTCAGACCTTTGATTATTTTGTGCCACAATGATAAACCCCCTCTCTGATTGTCCGAGTTTGACCCCCTCCCCATGGGTTACTGCAGCCAGTGTTGCCAGCACTGCCACTACCTGGGTGGGCGTACCCCACCGGAATCCCCACCGGCTAGGTAAAAGGTCGTCAAGGTTCTCATTAGCAGCTTTGAGAATTTCCTTGTATATTATGCTCTCCCATCAGGGGGCTCTGGCTTTGTAGGACCAACCCTGCCAGGCAGGCTCAGAATCTTGAGGGGGCGGTGCTGCTCAAGTAGGTCTCTGACCGCATTTATTTCTCTGTTTAGGCTGCATATTCACAGCAGGTCCATAAAAGAGATGGGAACTTCTCTTTGGTGTATGGGTCGCTCAGGTGGGTGTCCAGGTTATAGGGTTAGGGATCTTTCCATCATGATAGGACAATGAATAATTAGATTAGATGTATACTATATTTAAAAATGTATATCCCTCATCTACACAAAATTGAAAGCTCTCTCTCACTACCCCTGCTCATAGACCCCCGGTCGGCTCTGGGATATGCAACCATTTCCCCTCTCACTCACTTAACGGCGCACCTTTTCAAACACAAAAATGCACATCACATGGTTGACTGCGGAAGAAATGGGCCGAGCGTGCAAACGCACCCGCATCCACATCTGCCGCAAGGGGGAAAGGACGCCAGAGAGAATACAGGACCAACCACAACAACCATCCGCCAAAACAACAACCTCCCGCCAAAAAAGCCATGTTCTAATTATTTGTATTTAAAGATGTATTATTCTGCTTGTTATATCGTTTTATCCTTTTATAAAATACTATACTTACTATAAATGTTATTTAATATTACAATCCCTATCATTGCTAGTATCAGGTGCTCCAATATTTGACTCCTCTATTACAACTTTTAGAATAGCCATGGAGTAGTCTTTGTGTCTCTGAACAAGTGTTGGCTGGAGTGGTGTAAAGCTTGCCACCATTGGACTCTGGAGCAGTGGAAACGCGTTTTCTGGATTGATGGATCACGCTTCACTATCTGGCAGTCCGAAGGACGAATCAGGGTTTGGCGGATGCCAGGAGAACGCTACCTGCCCCAATGCATAGTGCCAACTGTAAAGTTTGGTGGAGGAGGAATAATGGTCTGGGGCTGTTTTTCATGGTTCGGTCTAGGCCCCTTAGTTCCAGTGAAGGGAAATCTTAACACTTTTCTTTGCACTCTATGACAAAATGTGTATAATTGCTGGAAATAAGCTTTAAACCTGCAAATTTCTCTCCACCAACAAGAGGGGTGTGTGGTTGGAAAGTAATGAAGGGAAATATAATTTTAAAAAGGATGTGTATGTATATGTATATATATATATATATATATATATATATATATATATATATATATATATATATATATATATATATATATATATATATATATGTGTGTGTGTGTATGCGTGTGTGAACAGTGCTTGTGCCCATAGAAATAGATGTGGTGCAGGGGGGGGGAACGGGATGTTCCCCAATGCTGGAAGGGGGGCCCCCCCAAGAGTTAAAAAGTTTGGGAACCCCTGCCCTAATGAACAAAACCCTGGTTCACAATAGTGTCAGTGTGCAATGCACTTTCTGCACTGTGTAATTGCCACTTTCTCATGGACATAGTAAAAGGTCGGGTTTATAGATAAAGTAAAAATGGCATCCTTTATTTCAGTCTGACTAACAGGTGTTAGTGCATCTCAGTAATAACCTGAGTAAATAAAACTATAAATGGATTAATAGATGTGTAAAGCACCTGCTGGTCCACTGAGGTGAGTAGCTCCCTGATCTGAATCAGAGACTGGGTCAGACAGGAGGCCTCCTCTTCATTGTCTGGTTAAGGGAGAGAGAAAGAGAGGGGGATATAAGGGGGTTAGACATATTATTAGTAGTGCTGTTTTTTCCCATCCTCCGTCATTGACTTTAAAGACTCTGCGCTTTTAGTTAGTTCTGAGGACCTCGTCTCATGATATAAAAGGCATAGTTTGGATAAATGAGATATCTGTCTTTTTTGATACACCACATTACATTTACATTGACATTTTAGTCATTTACCAGATGCTCTTATCCAGAGCGACTTACAGTTAGTGAGTGCATACATTTTCATTTTTTATATACCCCCCGTGGGAATCGAACCCACAACCCTGGCGTTGCAAACGCCATGCTCTACCAACTGAACTACATCCCTGCCGGCCATTCCCTCCCCTACCCTGGACGACGCTATGCCAATTGTGCGCCGCCCAATGGGTCTCCCGGTCGCGGCCGGCTACGACAGAGCCTGGATTCGAACCAGGATCTCTAGTGGCACTGCGCCACTCGGGAGGCCCATTACATTTAGCTTCCCCCAACAATATATGTTTTATTCTAAAGTGAGCATGATTGATACAGTGAGGGAAAAAAGTATTTGATCCCCTGCTGATTTTGTACCTTTGCCCACTGATAAAGACATGATCAGTCTATAATTTTAATGGTAGGTTTATTTGAACAGTGAGAGACAGAATAACAACAAAACAATCCAGAAAAACGCATGTCAAAAATGTTATAAATTGATTTGCATTTTAAATGAGGGAAATAAGTATTTGACCCCTCTGCAAAACATGACTTAGTACTTGGTGGTAAAACCCTTGTTGGCAATCACAGAGGTCAGACGTTTCTTGTAGTTGGCCACCAGGTTTGCACACATCTCAGGAGGGATTTTGTCCCACTCCTCTTTGAAAATCTTCTCCAAGTCATTAAGGTTTCGAGGCTAACGTTTGGCAACTCGAACCTTCAGCTCCCTCCACAGGTTTTCTATGGGATTAAGGTCTGGAGACTGGCTAGGCCACTCCAGGACCTTAATGTGCTTCTTCTTGAGCCACTCCTTTGTTGCCTTGGCCATGTGTTTTGGGTCATTGTCATGCTGGAATACCCATCCACGACCCATTTTCAATGCCCTGGCTGAGGGAAGGAGGTTCTCATCCAAGATTTGATGGTACATGGCCCCGTCCATCGTCCCTTTAATGCGGTGAAGTTGTCCTGTCCCCTTAGCAGAAAAACACCCCCAAAGCATAATGTTTCCACCTCCATGTTTGACGGTGGGGATGGTGATCCTGGGGTCATAGGCAGCATTCCTCCTCCTCCAAACACAGCGAGTTGAGTTGATGCCAAAGAGCTCCATTTTGGTCTCATCTAACCACAACACTTTCACCCAGTTCTCCTCTGAATCATTCAGATGTTCATTGGCAAACTTCAGACGGGCCTGTATATGTGCTTTCTTGAGCAGGGGGACCTTGCGGGCGCTGCAGGATTTCAGTCCTTCACGGCGTAGTGTGTTACCAATTGTTTTCTTGGTGACTATGGACCCAGCTGCCTTGAGATCATTGACAAGATCCTCCCATGTAGTTCTGGGGTGATTCCTCACCGTTCTCATGATCATTGCAACTCCACAAGGTGAGATCTTGCATGGAGCCCAAGGCCGAGGGAGATTGACAGTTATTTTATGTTTCTTCCATTTGCGAATAATCGCAGCAACTGTTGTCACCTTCTCACCAAGCTGCTTGGCGATGGTCTTGTAGCCCATTCCAGCCTTGTGTAGGTCTACAATCTTGTCCCTGATATCCTTGGAGAGCTCTTTGGTCTTGGCCATGGTGAAGAGTTTGGAATCTGATTGATTGATTGCTTCTGTGGACAGGTGTCTTTTATACAGGTAACAAACTGAGATTAGGAGCACTCCCTTTAAGAGTGTGCTCCTAATCTCAGGTTGTTACCTGTATAAAAGACACCTGGGAGCCAGAAATCTTTCTGATTGAGAGGGGATCAAATACTTATTTCCCTCATTAAAATGCAAATCAATTTATAACATTTTTGACATGCGTTTTTCTGGATTTTTTGTTGTTGTTATTCTGTCTCTCACTGTTCAAATAAACCTACCATTTAAATTATAGACTGATCATTTCTTTGTCAGTGGGCAAATGTACAAAAATCAGCAGGGGATCAAATACTCGCCCCTGGTTTCAGTTGCAGTATCAACGGGGTCTTGTTCTCACCCTTGGTGTTGTCAAGGATACGCTGGATGAGGACGGGGTACTTGGTGATGCGCTGAGTGACCAACAGGATGCACTCCTGGACGCCATGGCGACGCAACAGGTGACCCCGACACACCCGCTGAACAGAGAGCGGGAAAGATAGATTAAAGACGAAAGAGACAGAAGGGAGAGAGAGAGAGAAAGATAAATAAAGCGTTAGTGTGAAAGTGAGCACGAGAGTGTGAGAGAGGGAAAGGAGAGGGGAGAGAAGAGAGTGAAAGAGAGGGTATAAGAGTGCAGGAGCAGGAGAAAAAGGAAGACATGAATATGAACAAGACAAAAAGGGTGAGAAAAAACAGGAAAAGCGGCAAACAGAGAAGGATGGATGGAAAACAACACATATTAGTGTTTTGTAATGCAATCAAGTGCAAATATTTTTTTTTACCGGAATTCTGGAGATATCAATTGATATGAATGATACAACTTCAAAACTAGCTTGAAGAGCTTTAAATCTAAATGAGAGATAAAACACACAATTTACAATAGAAAAAGTACATGTACACAAACACGCACATTCCCATTGGCCTATTTTTATTTCTCTGTGCCCCCTCGCTCACTCTTTCTCTCTGCTAAGGAATATGAAACTACCAAATAGCATGATCATCACAAGTAAGACCTTAGTAGCGGTGACAAAATGTGTGGGTTTATTAAAATATAAAAAAAACACAAAAGCTCTCCCTCAGTCTCATTTGTTCATTCTATCCCCCTCCTCTCTCAATCTCAATTCAAGGTTTTTTATTGACATTACATACATTCTGTGAATACTGCCAAAGCATTCCAAAAAACATAGTTTTAGAAGTAAAAAATTGCACAAAGTCACATCACTTGTTCTCCCTCTCTTGTTTTTCTCTTTCTCCCTCTGTCTTACCCGTATGAAGTACTGGAACCTTTTGTCTCTGGCCAGCAGCTCCTTGTACAGCTTGACAGCCTTCAGGTGGCGGCTGCAGAACTCAGCGTAGGTCTTCCTCATCTCGTCAGCACACTGGCCCGAGAACTGAGAGAAACAATCAATCCGTCAATCAATCAAATCAATCAAATCCATTTAAAGTACCCCGGCCTAAACCCCAAAGACCAATCAAAAGCAGAGTGGCTAGGATAAACTCCCTAGAAGGAAGAAACCTCGAGAGGAACCAGGGGAGGCCCATACTCCTCTGTTTGTACAGTGTAGTTAAGATTACATATGACCATCAAGGCCAGATAGTTTCTCAGGTCTTGCAAAGAATGAATGATCCACTAGGATGGTAAATGTATACATCACATAAGGCAGTGGGTATAATTTCCAGGTCTGTCTACCTGTTCCAGCAGCACATCTCCCAGCTGGTGGATAGTGAAGTTGTAGGTGCTGCCAGGCTGTAGGCTGTGGTTGCGCCGGGTAAGCAGCTGTGTCAGGAAGCGGCCATGTATGGCGGTGAGACGGTCTAGGCAGGGGAAGATGGCGTGCACCACGCCCGGCTCCAGCTGCACCTCCTCCAGCATGCCCTGGCAGAACACCCGCTCCATGATGCGCAGCGTCCGCACATGGTGCAGCTCTGTCTGGATCAACTCTGAGGAAAACAGAAACGCAAAGATAGAGTCGATCATGTAACATGGGTATAGAATAGAATACAACTTTGATTGTCCATCAGGCGAAAGAAAATTCATTTTTTTGCTCTGTTCATAACCTGCCAGAAACACGTAGAACACACATTACAATTTGGGAGGAGGCACAGGGTCAACTGCACCCCTGGAGCTATGTCGGGGTTAAGTACCTTGCTCAAAGCACAACAGTAGTGGATTGTGGCCATGATCTGAAAAAAGTAGCCCCCTCCAGTTGCCACTTTTTCATTGCCCAGCCCACGGCCTTTTCACCACAAAGGGAAAGAGTTTCAAGTGCATGTCACTGCTCTCACCATAGATGACGTCCTGCCTCTTGATGATGTCTTTGCGATGCGTCTGCAGGTAGCCTGAGTCCACCGCCATGCTCCATGAGTCTGCCTCAAAATCCCGCCCCTCGATCTCCATTTCCTCCAGCATGGAGGTGTAATACACTTCCCCTGAGAGAGGAAAACAACATTCATCCAGCATAAACAACAAATGGACTAAAACAGACCATCAATGCCTCAAATGTTCACAGTTCTAAAGTCTCTCCTGACAATCAATCCTTTTTTCTTACAACACTTTCAATGTAGACATGGACATGACAGTTGCCAATATCCCTGAGGCTTTCCCTATGTAATGGATGCAACCTTGTCCCAGACCCAAAGACTTGCATATGCTACACAATATGTGCGCCTAGGCTTAAGATCAGTAGCAAATACGGAGCACAAATGTCCCACATTCAATCCCAGTCAGTCCCAACCACATCACTGTGTCTTACCCTCGTCGTTGAGCGACTCCATGGACATGGCTCTGTTCCTGAAGTTGAGCGAGTCTGTGGACTGGGACAGGATCCTGCGCAGCCCCAAGGGAGAGTCATCATTCAGGTTCCTATGCAGAAGCATGGACGAGGACACACACATACATACCAGGACAAAAATACAAATACACATATATACACATGCACCAAGAAACATGCAGGTACGGTATACACACACGCACACAGAAACCATCCACATAAATATGTATGAGTACACAGAAAACCAAAAAAGAAAGAAACGGTGATATAGATACAATCACACAGAGGACAAGCAGAGACAAAACACACACACACACACACACACACCCATCCATGCATTTGGATACACAGACACACACGATTACAATGGTACAAAATCACAAAACGCACCAATGTATGAGCCACTGTGAATATTACTATTCATGCTTATGTCCTGAGACACACATACACATAGAGATGAGGCATATGCCATGTGTAGGTAAACATGCTAGTTCACACATTCAGTAGAACGTAAACTGCCATTGCTCCTCTATCATCAACTGCTGATAGCTATTATACATGTCTGAACCTTGTAAGACCAAACCAAAACTGATAAAACACCATATATACACACACAAAATATAAATACATACATACATACATATATATAGTACCAGTCAAAAGTTTGGACACACCAACTCATTCAAGGGTTTTTCTTTATTTTTACTATTTTCTACATTGTAGAATAATAGTGAAGACATCAAAACTATGAAAGAACACAAATGTAATAATGTAGTAACCCAAAAAAAGTGTTAAACAAATAAAAACATATTTTATATTTGAGATTCTTCAAATAGCCACCCTTTGCCTTGACGACAGCTTGGCATTCTCTCAACCAGCTTCACCTGGAATGCTTTTCCAACAGTATTGAAGGAGTTCTCACATATGCTTAGCACTTGTTGGCTGCTTTTCCTTACCTCTGCTGCAGAGGATAAGTTCATTAGAGTTACCAGCCTCAGAAATTGTAGGCCCAAATAAATGCTTCACAGAGTTCAAGTCACAGACACATCTCAACATCAACTGTTCAGAGGGGACTGTGTGAATCAGGCCTTCATGGTCGAATTGCTGCAAAGAAACCACTACTAAAGGACACCAATAATAAGAAGAGACCTGCTTGGGCCAAGAAACACGAGCAATGGACATTAGACCGGTGGAAATGTGTCCTTTGGTCTGGAGTCCAAATTTGAGATTTTTGGTTCCAACCGCCGTGTCTTTGTGAGACGCTGTGGGTGAAAGGATGATCTCCGCATGTGTAGTTCCCACCGTAAAGCATGGAGGAGGTGGTGTTATGGTGTGGGGGTGCTTTGCTGGTGACACTGTCTGTGATCTTTTTAGAATTCAAGGCACACTTAACCAGCATGGCAACCACAGCATTCTGCAGCGATACTCCATCCCATCTGGTTTGGGCTTAGTGGGACTATCATTTGTTTTTCAACAGGACAATGACTCAACACACCTCCAGGCTGTGTAAGGGCTATTTTACCAAGAAGGAGAGTGATGGAGTGCTGCATCAGATGACCTGGCCTCCACAATCCCCCAACCTTAACCCAATTGAGATGGTTTGGGATGAGTCGGACGGCAGAGTGAAGGAAAAGCAGCCAACAAGTGCTAAGCATATGTGGGAACTCCTTCAAGACTGTTGGAAAAGCATTCCTGTTGAAGCTGGTTGAGAGAATGCCAGGAGTGTGCAAAGCTGTCATCAAGGCAAAGGGTGGCTCCTTTGAAGAATCTCAAATATAAAATATATTTTGATTTATTTAACACTTTTTGGGTTACTACATGATTCCATATGTGTTATTTCATAGTTTTGATGTCTTCACTATTATTCTACAACGTAGAAAACAGTAAAAATAAAGAAAAACCCTGGAATGAGTAGGTGTGTCCAACCTTTTGTCTCGTACTGTATATAGGCATGATGCCACTATTAATGTCAAGGACAAGATTGCCTGTGGTTTCCCTCGTACCATCCCCCTTTTTCTGTTTTGGCCAATGAGCAGGCGGTGGCGGGGCTCACCCTGCAATGTTATTGGTGGAGACGCTCTTGGAGAGGGAAAGGCCGGAGCGTCCACGGCGCGAGCCCAGCAGTGATTGGCGGAGGTTGTCAGAGTGGTAGATGGCTGAGCTGGGGCGTTCCCTCATCATGGGGGCTAACAAGGAGTAGATAAAGGAGGAGGAGGGGAAGAGGAGTAGGAGAAAGAGGGGAAGGAAGAAGAGGAGGGAATAGAGGAGGAAGGGGAAGAGGAGGAGAAATATAGTGGAATAACGTAAAAGGAAAACTCTCAGTGAAAAAAGAGTCTCCACAGATGCAATTAAGGGGTTTAAAAGTGAAACTATAACAACTCTTGCTCAATTGCAAAACTGACATTGTTATTACATTCTAGTCCAATAGTGAAAAATAAGTTTTCCTTCGCGTATGTAATAAAGAATTCGAAGTGTGTAGCGTGTGGTGTGTGTTTGCATGTACTCACTTTTAGTACGAAGGGTCACGTTCTGCAGAGCTGAGTTGTTCCTCATGAGAGCCATCTTCTGTTGCTGTGGTTACATACAGTACAGTTTAATATCATATACCACTTATTATTACATACTTGTATATGTAGTAGAATAAGGTTGCAATATACAGACAGCATATCAAAAGGCAAATATCCATATATTACACAATTCATTAATGTGCATTTCTTGTGCAATTCCCTTCATTTTATGTGTCATGGAAATGCACAAGTCTAATGTTTATTGTATATATTATATGGTATGGAATTGTATGAAAACTATATACTTCCAATATATTTTCCTATATATTTATTCAGTATTATCATCTCTTACCCTCTGTTTCATTTTGGCACAGTTGGGCAACGTGTCTCGACAGCGGTTGTGGATGGTGACACTGCAGGCTGTGAGAAAAATAAACACACAAGAGACTCACTCAACTATTTTCTCTCTCTCCTCTCCCACTCTGCTCTCACTCTCAATGTCCCCCCTACCCTATATTTATATTTTGACCCTCTATTTTATATGTCAACCTTTATCGAATATGGAGACACTTTGAATATATGGTGAGCATCTCCCTCTCTTTCTCACTCTCTTCCCACATCTCTTTTCATCGCCTGCATCTTGCACTTATCCCCCCTGCCTCGTTTGTGGCCATTGTTTTAAATCAGTTTGACTTCCTGTGCAGGGTTTGTGAACAGGAAGTTAGGGTTCAGACAACTGGCGGAGGGGAGGAGACCCAGGGGTGTTTTGGAACCCTCTAACTCAGTTCCACTGCTCCTCCACCGCCCACCCTTAACACTTGTCTGACCCAAATCTGGATTTAAAGCTTACTTAGTAGGCTTACGCACTGAAGAAGGCAATCCTGACTCCCTGTTGCAGTAAAAAATGAATTTAAAGATATCTTTTAAGACAATATTTTGAGTGAAGACTGTTTTTGCTATCACCTGTTTGATTTGGTGCCGTGAAATCAAGTCAAACAAAGTCTGGTGAGTGTTCGAGCATCCATGGTATTCAGGACATCCTGCCCAACCCCTAAGTATTACCGTGAACTCATTTCCGTATTTCATAATTGAGTATTAGGAATTTGAACGCTGTAAGAAAAAAACAAAAAAGTGACCTTTGACCTATAACTCCCCTTCAAAATAGGAAGAGCCTGCAAGGAACTGAGTTAGCGCCTGGCTACGTTAGCAGTGGGATATCAGAGCAGAGCCTGGTGCAGGGCCAGCACAGGTTGCACAGTTCTGACAACAGCGGGACTATTATCTGAACAGGGGCATGCAATCCTGACACAACACAGGGTCTGTTTTTGTTATCTGTGACCAACCCTCTGTCTGAAAAACTGCATCAGGTTTGGTTGAGAAAGACAGTGAAGAAATGCTAACAGCAGAAAAAGTGAAGTAGGGGAGGTGCACTGGCTCACGGCATAACAGGAAAGGGAGTGGGTGTGTGTGACACGAGCAGGACTGGGTCTGTATGTGTGTGTGAACTGTGTGGCAAAATGTATTCCTACTATTTACATATTTAAAAAAGTAATACTAAGCATAAGACCCAAACCAAATGTATTCCACCACAATCTAATGTAAGTTAAATCAAATATAATGAAAACACATTGGGCTGCAGCTCCTTCTAGGCCAATGTGGCTGTGACGATGACAGTGGACAGGTGTTTTTGAGTTGGGTGTGAAGCTCCCCATCTCCAACTCTCACCCATTATCTGACTGCATGTAGATCAATGTCCATAATCTAACTACTTTAACGGAATTCATAGTCACATTGTAGTTTATTACTGTGTTGTAGCTTGTTTGGAGAGTTAACAGGTTGATTTGGTTGTAAAGGAATGGTATAGATTGTGTAGATTGTTCCCTTTGGTAGTGCCCCGATATTCTGCCAGTGATGTGACAATGTATGTTCTGATAAATTATGCTGCATTATTTTAAAGCATGTTAGGGTTTTAGAGGTACAGGGTATGGTACGTTTTTGAGGTGCTTTGTGGTTTGCTGAGGTATTCTTTTTGTGTAGCTGAGGCCTGTATCTGAAGGATGTGGTGTGTAGGCAAGGCTTACTGGGGCAGTTAAGGGACACTATATATGGGTGCTGTGTGTGTGTAGTGGTAGTAGTAGTAGTAGCAGTAGCGGTAGTGGTAGTGGTAGGAGTAGTAGCAGTAGCAGTAGCAGTAGCAGTAGCAGTAGCAGTAGTAGTAGTAGTAGTAGTAGTAGTAGTAGTAGCAGCACCACTCACTTGGGCAGCTGAGGGCCTCCTTGGCAGTGATGCTCTTGTTGCACGCTGAACAGAGGGTGGTCCCCGACACGGTGAGGGAGGTGAAGAGGTGCCCGTTGCTGTAGCGCGCCTCCCTTTCCCGCGCCTCTTTCTCCCTCTCCCTCATGCGCTCTTTCTCCTTATTCTGGGAGGAAATGAAAAAGGAGAGAAACAGAATGCACTGATGACATACACTGGCACCGTTGACATAAGGTGGACAGGTCAGAGCCTTTTGTCTGTTGCCATCCTGCACAGGAAGTAGACAGAGGAGGCTTCCTCTTTAATGGCTAAAGTGTGCAGGGTGAGCTGTTGCTAGGGCAACAGCGGCAAAAGAGGGACTACATGAGACTTGATTGTGTGTGAGATCAGTATGTATGGGTAGGTCTCAAAACCAAAATGTCACTGTAAAAGTAAGAGCATTTAGAACCAGTTAGAATTTTCTGACAGCGATGACCAGCAGAGGAAGTTATTCATACATCTATCCATCCATCCATCCATCCATCTCTATATATATATATATATATATATATCTATCTATATCTATAACTATCTATATCTATATCTATATCTATATCTATCTATATCTATATCTATATATATATATATATATATATATATATATATATATATATATATGAATGAGAGAGAGAGAGACCTATAATGAAACACAATAGATGTGGGTCTGCATTTTCACTGTATTTCTCCACCTTCTCACTCACTACCTCCCACTCTCTCTATCATTGCCTTCTGTCTCTTTTCTCGGTTGGAGGATGCTATTGAAAAGAAAATTGGAGGACGCCTTGTGATGATCACATGAACTTTACAATAAAACAGGAACCCATGCTAGCCAGATTGACTGTATAACATTCCACAAAATCAAATACTCTGTAGTTTGCCATGTCATAATAATAATATTTCCAAGTTGTAAATGTCTAGACAATGACCGCCATGGTGTTTTCCACAATCTCATTTTCCACACAGCACTAACACACCTGATAAATTGTCTGGTTGACAAAACAAGACTTAATGAGTCGATGATTCATCACATCAGGTTGAATTGTGTGTTAGGGCTTGGTTGAAACAAAAATGTGGGTTGCGGGGACAGGAGTTGAGAAACACTGCTCTGAATCCATCCAGAGACTACTTGTACAGTTTAGTTTTTTTATTTAACCTTTATTTATATAAGTTTGTCCCATTGAGATAAATGTATTTTGCAAGAGAGACACGTTCAAAATAGCAGCAGTTGGCATAGTGATGTCCAAAAGTTAACATTTGCCAATACTACCGTTACATTTTAGCATCAGCACCTCAGTGATGACCCATGAAATTCAGGGTTGACTTCGAAAACCTCTACATCTGCACTGTCCCTAATTGCTGGTCAAAGTCAAATGTTATTTTGATGCAGCTATGCAAAGCACTAACATTTTTACAGGAAAACAACAAGAACTATACCAACGAAGTTAAGAATGAGTCATTTCTGATGCATCAGAGGCAAAAGCACACTTCCTTCTCTCTCTCGCTCTCTTTTTGCACGCTCCTCTTCTCTCAATATACAGCGTAGTGCTGTAGAATTGGCTTAGGTTCTAAAGTGAGCAATACATAAGGGAGTGAAAGAATAGATGGGGTGAGATAGAGACAGGCAGATCTAGACGTCCTCCCTATAAACGCTGTTTTAGCTGAAGTTAGTTTGTGCTGTCATTAAAAGGTGTCAGGACATAAAACACTGAGAAAGACACGGGATTCCACCGGTTTACTTCACCGAGTCACTGATAAATACACACACAACACAAAGTATGTTTCACACCTCTATTATACAGTGTGTATGTGTGTTTCCTAAAATATCCATGTTTCCTGTATGTTGGTATGTGCGGTGACATCAAATGTGTGTGTGTGTGTGTGTGTGTGTGCGCGTATGCTCCAGATTAATGACTGATCTGTAACTGCTGTGTGGATTGAGGTGGCCCTGTAACCTGGTTTCTTTCCTCTGGAGGGATGCTGGGCAAATCAGAGCCTGAGGTGGATTCAAGTTTAGTCTCCCTGAACGACATACCATACAGGACAAAAGATCACGGGGAGTCAGTCTAATATTGACTAGTGTGTGTGAGAGAGAGAGAGTGGCTGCCTCTGGATCAGATTCTGATGTGACATTTTCTTTATCCCCTCAACCTGAACACACAACTCAGGTCATTGCGCTCTACGGGAAGTCATATCCTCCATTTCTCCCTCCCTCTCTCTCTGCATCTCACACACACCATCTTTCTCCATCCATCCCTCTCTCTCACTCACTCCTTCTCCCTCACTTTATTTCTAACTCTCGAGCTTTGTCCTTCGCCCTCGGCCCTCTCGTTCGAACACATTCACGCCTACAGTTTCCCCTGTGTGCTATAGACTGCAATAGCTCCCTCCCACCTCACTCCTGTACTGTAGGAAGTATTCCTATTTTGTTTGGTTAAGTTCAACACAACCACCAACCATACATACCGGTAGCAATACCGATCAAAATAATAAAATATGGAATCACATAGTGATGAAGGTTTTTACTCTGGTCACTAATTGTACCTGGAATGTTACTATTTAATCAGGGTTCAAATTACAAGGGTGTGTAGGAGTGCTAGGGACTAGACAAAGCAAATGAGGTTTAAAACATCAACAGCAGGGGTTGTAATAAGCGTTTCAGTAAAACAATATTGACTTTGATATACTAGGGCAGTGTTTATCAGCCTTTATTAGGGACAGACCTGGGTTCAGATGTTATTTTTTTCAAATACTTGATTGCTTGACCTTGCCTGGTGCAAAGAAACCAAAAGAATACTCCCGAAAGTACAAACCCCACCCATATGGCACTCCAAGCAGGCTCTGTGAAACAAAGTATTTGAGAGAAAACAAATACTATTTCAACTCAGGTCTGATTAGTGTAGTGGAGTCGATGTGTAATTTGAACTGAGGACACCAGCAAAATTACTTGAAGCATAGGTGTCTCCTGAATTTGTGTTGACCACGCAAAGCCTCTAACTGTCCAGTTTGTAGTAGTGTATGAGTGTCCAATAGATTTGGTGGCACTGACCCCAATACTATGTTCACGTTCAATAAATACACACAACATGCGCGCCCATACACCCCAATGCAGGAAAGTGATGTTTATATGGCGCTGGCAAGCCAAGGTTCTCAGCCATCCACTGTGCCAGAGAAAGCAGATACTATCACACCAACAGTGGCATTTCTATGGCAACCATTGCTATAGTCAAACACACACTGAGCGCAAATGCATATAGTCCTCCCTTACACACAAGATCACTACATAAAAAATAAAATAAGGGCACATTCAGTCCTCACTCCCTGAAACCAGCGCACACGCACACACATTGCTATTGCACACAGGATCTTGATCAAATCAAACATCCACACATGCAACCCTAGATCAGTGCTGTATAGTAGAGCATATTTACTCATTGAATCAGTACCTGCTGTATCAGTCTAATAGGAAGGCAAAATGGTACACACGTCATATTTAATCAAATATTACACTAATCAAAATAGTAAAACTTACAAACATAAGTTATTTTAGCTGTGTCTCATAGGCCTAGATATAGCCTACTTGGAAAACTGCAAATATGGAAACTGTTACTTCCAGTGACTATGTTGGCTTTCCAGTACGTGGCAACACCTCTGGGTGCCTGGAGAATCATGCCCAAACAGAAAAAGGTGATGAACAGTAGAAGCTTCCAGCGTACCCAAACCAGTTCTCATCATATGGGCTGCATCATTGCCATACGGGCTGCATCATTGCCAAGCGCCCCGCTTGCTTTTGTAAAGTATCTCCATATTGCGCAAACTTCCTGAAAAATAGCCTCCGTGTTTCTGCAATGATTATAGCAATCTAAACGTTATCATTATAACCAAATGTAAGATAATGTCTCCCATTCTAAAATGACATCTACAAGTTATGTTTTATTAGTCGTATGTACAGATGCTCTAGAAACACTTGCTTTTTGCGCATTTCACTTTTCTTGTCAGAAGTTTGCCAGTAACACGTTATCAGTAATAGCAAGCCTCCAAATACATCTACTCACCCGTAAACTAATATCTCTCATTCTCTCTTGTCGGATTTTTGACAGATCTGCGACTCTGGACATGGTGAGAATCGGGTCCCTTCCTCTCCAGTACGATAATAAATCCTTTTAAAGGCAAAGCGCTTGTGGCTGTCAAGCAGCAACTCCAAATATCTGCCTGTTTTGTTCTTCCCTGAGAGGTTAATGCTAAAGTAGTTCTATGATTATATGGCTAGGGTAAATGTAATAGCCAAACTATAACACCTTTACAAAATAGAGCGTACAACTTCTCTGTATCCCTAGTCCAACGGTTCGGTCTCTGATGCTGCGCAAGAGGAGACTTTCTCATACAGGAAATTCAGTCGTTTTTTTGCACTTCAGATTATCCGGAATCACGCCTACTGGAGGAGGTTTCATAGTTTCAGAACCAGCCTCTCTTTCTCTTAATTCTGTGGTACCACTCAATGCGCTGTGCTAGCACAGAGAAAAAAATGGATGGAAGTAAATCAAGAAAAGTGTTGAACTCTTTCTGGTACAATTCTGGTATTATGGAGATTGAGGGAGAGGTCACTAAATGTAAATACATAAATAAATATAATAGATCACACACACACACACACACACACACACACACACACACACACACACAATGCCAGATAAATGGACAAGCATAGGCTAATAATATTCCATAAATAGCCAGAAATCAAAGTCACAAATGTGTTGAAATAAGATGACAGCAATGTCACATGTAATAGCTAAATAGCTTTGGAAAAGCAGAGAAATGCATAACCAACTTACACTGAGGGACCACTTCCAATGAGGTCAAGACAACTGAAGACATAGGCTATGCTATAATCAATGCCTTGTCAATTCATATGGACATGTTATATGAGTTGTAAATGCATTGTTGATAACAATCTCAAATTAAAATAGCATGTTTTGATCATGTCATTCTCATTTAAACATTTTCTATGGAAGAATGTGGGCTGAAAATGACAGCATAAACTTTGAAGCTGTAAGAAATGTAAAGTGAGTTGGGTGAGTGGGGAGTGGTAGCCAAAATGGAGGGACATTTTGAGGAGAGGCTAATGGTTACAGTCTCATGGCAATGCTGCCTCAACATCTGTTGCCAACTCTACATGCCTGGGTTGTGTTTATTAACCAAATGAAAGAAAACGGACGGAAACAGGGAGGGAGTACCTGGACTTGCCCAATAAGAAATATTGCATTTGGTTTTAAAACATTTTCCTTTGCAAATATTGCATTTGGTTTTAAAACATTTTCTGTTGCATGACCTAATGAACACGATCCAGCACTCATATGGTTGGGGGAAGTATAATTAGTTTATTGTTCAAACTGGACTTGAGTAGCTATTAGCTAACACGCAACGAACAAAGGGAGTGTGACTGACTGGCGCTACTTGTCATGAAGTCCTTGGACACAATAGCAAATTTGTTTGAGAAGTGTTTTTAAAATTACCAATAGGGCTATTGATGAATCAGGACTTCAGTCTGTTATAGCTTTTATACAATACCTTTCAAAAAGGTGAGGAAGCACTTTTCTTGTTAACATTTACTTTTCGAATTCATTCCCTCTTTCAGTTCTCTCAACTGTCTCCATCTCATGGCATCGCTCGCTCTCTCGCGCCATAGAGGCCTCCTCTGTAGCTCAGTTGGTAGAGCATGGCGCTTGCAACGCCAGGGTTGTGGGTTCGATTCCCACGGGGGGCCAGTATGAAAAAATGTATGCACTCACTAACTGTAAGTCGCTCTGGATAAGAGCGTCTGCTAAATGACTAAAATGAAAATTTTCTCGGCTCTTTAAATCTAACTGTATCGCTCTCCCAATCTCTCTCCAGGCAACTGATAAATATAACCGCCCATTAGAAGGGTGGGAGTTAAAGAGGACAGATTGTTCTGTGGGCGGCCTTCCACACAGCAGTTTTAGCACTCTCTCTTTTACTTCTTTCACATTGGATTCACGGTATGTTGCATATAAAAAAATACATCATATATACAGTGGGGAGAACAATAATTTTCCTACTTACAAAGCATGTAGAGGTCTGTAATTTTTATCATATGTACACTTCAACTGTGAGAGACGGAATCTAAAACAAAAATCCAGAAAATCACATTGTATGATTTTTAAGTAATTAATTTGCATTTTATTGCATGACATAAGTATTTGATCACCTACCAACCAGTAAGAATTCCGGCTCTCACAGACCTGTTAGTTTTTCTTTAAGAAGCCCTCCTGTTCTCCACTCATTACCTGTATTAACTGCACCTGTTTGAACTCGTTACCTGTATAAAAGACACCTGTCCACACACTCAATCAAACAGACTCCAACCTCTCCACAATGGCCAAGACCAGAGAGCTGTGTAAGGACATCAGGGATAAAATTGTAGACCTGCACAAGGCTGGGATGGGCTACAGGACAATAGGCAAGCAGCTTGGTGAGAAGGCAACAACTGTTGGTGCAATTATTAGAAAATGGAAGAAGTTCAAGATGACGGTCAATCACCCTCAGTCAGGGGCTCCATGCAAGATCTCACCTCGTGGGGCATCAATGATCATGAGGAAGGTGAGGGATCAGCCCAGAACTACACGGCAGGACCTGGTCAATGACCTGAAGAGAGCTGGGACCACAGTCTCAAAGAAAACCATTAGTTACACACTACGCCGTCATGGATTAAAATCCTGCAGCGCACGCAAGGTCCCCCTGCTCAAGCCAGCGCATGTCCAGGCCCGTCTGAAGTTTGCCAATGACCATCTGGATGATCCAGAGGAGGAATGGGAGAAGGTCATGTGGTCTGATGAGACAAAAATAGAGCTTTTTGGTCTAAACTCCACTCGCTGTGTTTGGAGGAAGAAGAAGGATGAGTACAACCCCAAGAACACCATCCCAACCGTGAAGCATGGAGGTGGAAACATCATTCTTTGGGGATGCTTTCCTGCAAAGGGGACAGGACGACTGCACCGTATTGAGGGGAGGATGGATGGGGCCATGTATCGCGAGATCTTGGCCAACAACCTCCTTCCCTCAGTAAGAGCATTGAAGATGGGTCGTGGCTGGGTCTTCCAGCATGACAACGACCCGAAACACACAGCCAGGGCAACTAAGGAGTGTCTCCATAAGAAGCATCTCAAGGTCCTGGAGTGGCCTAGCCAGTCTCCAGACCTGAACCCAATAGAACATCTTTGGAGGGAGCTGAAAGTCCGTATTGCCCAGCGACAGCCCCGAAACCTGAAGGATTGGAGAAGGTCTGTATGGAGGAGTGGGCCAAAATCCCTGCTGCAGTGTGTGCAAACCTGGTCAAGACCTACAGGAAATGTATGATCTCTGTAATTGCAAACAAAGGTTTCTGTACCAAATATTAAGTTCTGCTTTTCTGATGTATCAAATACTTATGTCATGCAATAAAATGCAAATGAATTACTTAAAAATCATACAATGTGATTTTCTGGATTTTTGTTTTAGATTCCGTCTCTCACAGTTGAAATGTACCTATGATAAAAATTACAGACCTCTACATGCTTTGTAAGTAGGAAAACCTGCAACATCGGCAGTGTATCAAATACTTGTTCTCCCCACTGTTAATATATATTTTTATCAGGTAATCCTTACAGTCCAATTTTTACCACATTCTTGCCTAGATAAGTGTTGTATACCTCCCATACACATGCCAGCAAGTTTAGGAGTGGGAGAAGGCATGGGTCGATGTGGGTGAGCGTCTATTTTAGTACATTTATTGAACATATACCATCACAAAGAAATCCATTATTAATTTGTTTAGGCAGGTCCAAATGCAAATTAAAATCAATAGTTTGATATTTTGTTAATTTAAAAAAACAGACAAGACACACTTACCCTGATCAAAGTCAACACATTTTATAGTAAGAATTTAACAGAATAAAATAGAAAGAACATATTTTTCCCACACAACTTATGTCATGGGAACGTGGAACCACTGTCATATAACAAAAAAATAGATATTTTGAAAACAGAGCCCAAGCCCATGCTTTTTTAATCTACATATTATCGCTTTCCTACTCCACTTAGTTATTGAGCAGACATAGGGTCTTACATTAAGAGTATCTTCATCATGATACCGATAGAAATCTAAATTTTCAAAAGCATGTGTTTCGTGTTCATATTTTACAACATCCACTGGCTTTTAGAGTTGCATGTACACCATCGAGCAAAATAATAGCCCTACACTTGATTTAGGCTAAATTATTGCATACTAAATGTTTCTTATCAGTGACAGACGAGCAAACAAATAGATGAGCTATAGGTCTACCACCGCCACTTATTTGCCCAGCGAGAGACCAATCAACCAAATATACAGAGAAACAAAAATCACATTGATTGATCAGACAAGTCACAGGCTTTTGGTCAAGAGTAGGCCTAGGCTACTAAGCAACTGAGAGTGAAGAGCAAAACATTTCATTGTTAAGCTACATAACATGCTGGCAAGATTTTCTGATCAGTGCTAATAAATGAGTTAACTAGACAAGACGATCATGAGCATGCACTCACCTCAACTTAGCTAACATTTCCACAGCCTAATGTAGCTTATAACCAATAACCAACCGAGACTCAAACAAAAATCTGACATTGATTCATCAAGACTAATCCCCATGCTTGTCTCAAAGTAGCGTGAAGGCGCTGTCCCAATCAAAACTGTGCTGAAATTGTCATATGGTTGACCACTGCGGGTAGGCTATTGCTTAAAATGTATTATAACGATTAGGTTACTTTGGCAGTTTCAGTAAGCAACAATTTGATGCATGCCTTCAACTGCATTAGCCCACTTTATTCCAATATTTTCATCATTCAGTGACATTCATTCCCACAGTAATTATTTATGGATCCATCCAGTTGTGGTTTAGAAAACAGTAAATGCTTAAAAAGGTAGCTAACACACTTTTGTACATCCCCCTGTTCGGTACATTTTACCTTATTTTAGCGCCCAAAAACGTAATACTTCCAGGTCAACTGTAATATTAATACCATTGTAAAGCACAATTTCTCCCCTTTCCAGCAAAATCAATGACGAGACCTTCATGCTGCCAGTCTCTGCATGATTGAAGAAAGCAATGGAGCTCCGCCGGTCTTTTTAAAAATGGCGGGTGGGGAAGCGAAAGCTACTGCGTCATAGTGAAAGGGGGAGATATGTCTTGTGGGGAACTGGCTTTTTTCACCCAATTTGTCCAACTTATCACCTCAAAAATTTTAATAAAACACTATAAAGAGTTTATATAATGTCTCATTACATACCTATTTGAAGGTTTGTGTCAAATTTGAATAGGGTTTTTAGGGAGGCGCTAAAAAAAATCACTTTTTTCAACTTTTCTCCAATACCATCAACCCCGAATTGAAACTTAGTTCACACCCCGGATTTTGATGCCAACACAGTCACTACAGTCCCATTAGTTTTCATTGCAGCCTCGTTTGAATGCCACGGTTGCTCACATACGTACGGAACAGAGTTAGCTACCGTTAGTGGTGGACTATGCGAAGAGATGGGCGAAGTGACAAGCCTCGCAATGTTTATAACTGCCAGGAGAATGGTAACAGCCTAGTAATGGGTGCTGCCTACAATAAAAAAATTTTTTTAAGTGCAATCTAGAACCTAAAAGGGTTATTGGGCTGTCCCCATAGGAGACCCCTTTTGGTTCCAGGTAAAACTATTTTGGGTTCCATCTTGAACTCTTTCCACAGGGGGTTCTACATGGAATCTAAAAGGGTTCTACCTGAAACCAAAAAATATTATCCTATGGATACAGCCGAAGAACCTCTTTGAAACTCTTAAAAAAAAAAAAAAAAAAAAAAAGTGTAGCAACCATCAAGAGCGTAGTGCATGCCAAGGCTGCCTCAGCATTACGGCTACGTTCATACTAAGCCGTAGACAGAACTTTACCGCAATCATGACTAGGTCGGTTGGCGGAAATAAAATTACAGGCTTTGTTGCCGGCAATAGCTTTCACATATAAAGAAAAGTAGGCAATAGTTGGCAGAAAAACATATTGGTTTGAAAGGTGTATTTGACTCCCTCCCTCAGTCGCTCCCTACCTTTCTCCTGCCCTCTCTCCATCAGATTCCCATCCCAGTGTGCAGCATTTGGCACATGACATCTTAATGAAAATTTTCTGGTTGGAAACTGGTTTTGTGACTGAGAAGACCATCTGGTCTCTGTTACAAACAAGTACAGACGTACTTTTCATGATGAGATGAAGACGTGATACTTTGGTTGTTATGGTCAGGATTATTTGTAAAAAAAATGTTTAAAGAGTTAGCTGGATGTCTTTTGGGTAGTGGACTATTCTTGATAAACACAGGAAACTGTTGAGCGTGAAAAACCCAGCAGCGTTGCAGTTCTTGACACAAAACGGTGCGCCTGGCACCTACTACCCCATTCAAAGTCACTTAAGTATTTTGTCCTGCCCATTCACCCTCTGAATGGCACACATACACAATTAATGTCTCAAGGCTTAAAAATCCTTCTTTAACCTGTCTCCTCTCCTTCATCTACACTGATTGAAGAGGATTTAACAAGTGACATCAATAAGGGATCATAGCTTTCACCTGGATAGTCTACGTCATGGAAAGAACAGGTATTCTTAATATTTTGTATACTCAGTGTATGTCAGCCTCTTGAAGGACGCAGGGATTGAACCCCAGTCGTCAGGGTTATACACATACATGTGTCAAGAGACGGGAGTGTTACCACTCACCCACGGGCTCTGTTCTGTCACCTTTTAAAAGGCTTTATCTTAGGGAGTCTGCGTGGGAGTGAAAGGGTCCTCTTGATTTTAAAGGAGATGTTACGGGGCGGTGGCAGACACTGACAGAGTGACACGTTTGACTGTGCTGCCTCTATCAGTCCTCTCCCTCCACAGCTCTGGTGAATTTTGGTCGGCATGAGACCAGAGCGTTGCTGTGGGTAACCGCTTCGCTGCTGAGCCAGACCGCTTTGTGGAGAAATGTGTGTGTGCCTGTGTGACTGTGTGTGAGAACCAATGCAAGTTTGTTTGTATTCTGAGTCAGCACCGCGTAGGTGTCTCCATGGACAGATATGCTCCTGCTCCGGTGAGATAATGACCAGATGCTGAGAGCCTTTACCCACAAACCCTGTCATTCAGCCCAGCACAGGGAGACCAGGACAAAATAACCACATAGGTGTGTTTGTTTGAATGTGTTTCATAGTGTGATAATGTAGCAACAGGAGAGAGCACTGGTATTGTGAGTAGCTTGTTTGAATTAGCCTTACATTTGTTCTCTGTTGCAATCCAGAAATATGACAGAACAGAGGATAGGAGAGGGAGGCTACAGGAGAGAGGAGGGGGCAGAGTGGTGGACGACCGTACCTACAAAACATCTGATCGAGTATTTGGTGCACTGACTTGCTCTTTGACACACACATTGTGACATACCCACACATTGCATACTCACCTATAGTGAATTCATACACAATACTTTCTCAAAAACACACAGATGTATGGACACATGGTTGCGCAAAGACACACACACACAGTGCCTTCAGAAATTATTCACACCTTGACTTTTTCCTCAATTTGTTGTGTTACAGCCTGAATTTAAAATAGATTACATTGAGATTTTGTGTCAATATTGAATAATGTTTAGATTTTTTAAACAAATTAATTACAAATGAAAAGCTGAAATGTCTTGAGTCAATAAGTATTCAACCCCTTTTATGGCAAGACTAAATAAGTTCAGGAGTAAAAATATGCTTAACAAGTCACATAATAAGATGCATGGACTCACTGTGTGCAATAAGTGTTTAACAATTTCTGAAAGACTACTTTATATCTGTATCCCACACATACAATTATCTGGAAGGTCCCGCAGTCGAGCAGTACATTTCAAACAGATTCAACCACAACGACCAGGGAGGTTTTCCAATGCCTCGCAAAGAAGGGCACCTATTGGTAAATGAAGCAGACATTGAATATCTCTTTGAGCATGGTGAAGATATTAATTACACTTTGGATGGTGTATCAATACACCCAGTCACTACAAAGCTACAGGCATCCTTCCTAACGCAGTTGCCGAAGAGGAAAGAAACCGCTAAGGGATTTCACCATGAGGCCAATGGTGACTTTAAAACAGTTACAGTGTTTAAAGGCTGTGATAGGAGAAAACTGACGATGAATCAACAACATTGTAGTTACTCCACAATAATAACCCAAATGACAGAGTGAAAAGGAAGCCTGTACAGAATAAACAATATTCCAAAACATGCATCTTCTTTGCAATAAGGGACTAAAGTAAAACTGCAAAAGATGTGGCAAAGAAATTAACTTTATGTCCTGAATACAAAGTGTTATGTTTGGGGCAAATCCAACACGTCACTGACTACCACTCTTCATATTTTCAAGCTTGGTGGTGGCTGCATCATGTTATGGGTATGCTTGTCATCGGCAAGGACTAGGGAGTTTATTTAGGATAAAAGGAAACGGTAGAGCTAAGCACAGGCAAAATCCTAGAGCAGGAGTGTCAAACTCATTCCATTGAGGGCCTAGTGTCTGCAGGTTTTTTGTTTTTCCTTTCAATTAAGACCTAGACAACCAGGTGACATTGGCTACACAAGGCCTGTCTGCAAAAAACTTGATTAGTGACCTTAATTGATCAATCAAGTACAAGGGAGGTGCAAAAACCTGCAGACACTCAGCACTCCGTGGAATGAGTTTGACACGTGTCCTAGAGGAAAACCTGGTTTTGTCAACTGGGAGACAAATTCACCTTCCAGCAGGACAATAACCTAAAACACAAGGCAAAATATACACAAGTTGCTTACGAAGACGACATTGAATGTTCCTGAGTGGCCTAGTTACAGTTTTGACATAAATCTGCTTTAAAATCTATGGCAAGACTTGAAAATGGATGTCTAGCAATGATCAACAACCAACTTGACAGAGCTTGAAGAATTGTTTAAATAATAATGTGCAAATATTGTACAATCCAGGTGTGCAGAGCTCTTAGAGACTTACCCAGAAAAACTTACAGCTGTAATCGCTGCCAAAGGTGATTCTAACATGTATTGACTCAGGGGTGTGAATCCTTATGTAAATGAGATATTTCTGTATTTCATTTTCAATAAATGTGCAAACATTTATAAAAACATGGTTTTCACTGGCACTATGGGGTATTGTGTGTAGGTGTGTGAGAAAATAAAAAATATTTAATCAATTTTGAATTCAGGCTGTAACAAAAAAATGTGGAATAAGTCAAGGGGTATGATTACTTCCTGAAGGCACTTGCGCATGAACACACACGAAGAGCGAAGATAAAAAATAAAAACACTCAAGCCCTAACAAATGTTGTACAGATGTGTGTGCTACATCGGTCTTCAATAGATTTCTGCTCCCTATGGTCGACCTCTTAACATTTCAGCACAAAGGAAATAAACTGTGAACACCTATCACATTACAAAGGAACATCTACTAGAGATGTCAAACTCAAACAAACATCGCCAGCTACTGAACAGTATTATGATATTATTGGTTGTACAGGAGCAGTTGGTAATGCCCTTAGTTGCATTACATCCTGTATGTTAATGTGTGCGTGCGTCTGTGTGCGTGCGTGTATTTAGCTTATTAGACCACCATGAAATGATGGCCCCTGCTTAGTTCCTTAACAACAACAAGATACTTGTACAAAGCACACATGCATGAATGCACACACACCACACACACATTAAAGCGGTTCTCCAAAACCAGTCACGCAGGTGTCACAATCTGACTCCAAATTAGGCTTAATTAGCTGACACTCAATTTAAGTAATCAGTGGCTTTGATTAGCATGTTCCAGATATTGGCTAGCTCTTAAAACAAAAACACACAAGACACACGCACACCCTATAAAAGCTAGCAGATCTGTACACCCTGGTGCCGTGCTACCAATGCTTTTCAAATACTTTTCATTGAATGGCTACTGCTGTACTAAAGTGGGTGTGATTATGAAGTCTTAGGGGCCTACAGGAAAGACTGGGTTGTGTTTATTAGGCACCAAAAAGAAGAAACTAAACTGAGGAGGGATTACCTGGATTTGTCCAATAAGAAACACACATTTTGGTTTTCAATTTCGAAACGTTTTAAAATACTTTTACTCAAATACTGTAATGCAACTGAGGGAATGGGAAACTAGGGTAAGTGTGGCTAACAGTTATTTATTTATTTGACTGACTGATCCATTAGTATTTATGTCTTCAAACAATATCTATGTAGTGCTTATAAATTGTTTATTAGTTGACTTTCGTGGGACCTCTAGGTCCCTGTTCGGTGTTACCGCCACAACTGCCACTTGTGGAGGATCAACTGAAGTGGAGGTCAGAGGTGACAAAGTTTAGTGTGGAAGTCTTCCTGAATCAGAGGCCAGAGGCTGTCCTTTGAAACAGATTGTGACTTTTATTGATAATAACCTATACAACCTGGCCAGGATGTCACGAAATACGTCATAATGAAGTCACTGCAACTAGTTTCAACCACTTTTTATAGCCTACAACTTAGTTTTAACTTGAAATTATCTAGGCCGGCTAATTGGAGCATGCTTACAGGACTCCTCCGTTTGTTATAGAGTGTTTAATGAAAATCTGTGAGGCAGGTTTCATTTCAGTTTAAGTCTGGTTTGTAGCTTTCCCCACTAAGGGAGCAGACAGATGCCGGAGTAAAACATTAAGGCTTTATGGTTCTCTTCAAAACCCATATTAGTAGAAATCAAGAAGTCATGAAGAGAGTTGAAGCAGTTGAAAAACATGGTACACACACACATTCAATTAATATGCAAACATTGCAACATTAAAATGTACTTACATTCACACTTGCACATTGTGAACTTCTGTTCACATTCCTTCATAATACTATGCCAAAAATGAAACACATACACAAACACACTAGGACTGACCCCATTTAGTCGACTGGTCGATAGGCCGTTGGTCGCCCAATATATTTTTTTAGTCTAGCAGTCGCAAATATATATTTTTCATGGCACACGAGACACCGTCTGATTTGCACCCATCTTAGTGGACTAATCCATTGAGGAGGCCGCGGGGATGCCACGGTCCAAGAAGAAGGGAAGTGTGGCTAAGATGCACAAGGCATGTCTCTCTCCAGAATGCGCTCTGTCCCGCCATTTCGTGAGGTTTCATTGTATCATAACTTCATTGTGTGAATTGTTTGGTATTTTATTGTTAGTGTCTATCAATTCCCCATTACATATATCAACAGTAGTAGCCTACATTTACCGTTAATTCCATAATTTCTAATCTACAATGTTTGTTTGGTTACGGTATTTTCTGTTAATACATTCAATATATTATTATTACTATTATTACAGTCGTTTACCGTTCTCATTGTCGAAGTGGACAGGTTGTTTACAGAGCTAACAACCTATGCTACACTTGTGAGAAACAAGTTTTGGATTATTTCCTTCCATTTACGAGTAATGTCAATTTATTCATTGTCTTTTGTTTGGAGCGCGCCTATCAAATGTTAAGGAAGCGCACCTGAATACGCATATTGAAATAGGACTAGGCTACCTGGCCCGCGCACAAATGTAGGCCTATAAACGTGCCCATTTGGGGATGTCTGATAGTATTTCTGATTGTCTTAACTCACCACCACTAATGAGCTGTGGAGCTTCTCAAAGTAGATTTGTCTTCACCTCAAACTGTAAGTAAACAATGTCTGTTTTTAGAATCCATTGAGAATGACAAAAGTTCCTCAATGTATTTGAAACCACTACGCATCAAAGGGAAAAATGTAATGCTCTGATCCCATGGAAACATCATAAAATAACTGATTACTTCTCACCCCTTGCACAAATAGCCTACAGCTGTGTCTGTCCCAAGCTCACTGGCACAGGAAACTGAGGCCTCAGAATATTTTATGCAATGTTGCAAGTTTGCTAGCACAAGCTTCAGGCTGGACACAGTTGATACAATGTTTCAAGTTCGTTGCAGACAGGCCTTGTGTAGCCAATGTGATTTATAGGACATTTATTTTTATCAGAATATTTTCTACCTGCAGGCTACAATGTTTGTATTTGTTGGCTTTATGTACAGTGTATTCAGAATCCTTGACTTTTTCCACATTTTGTTACGTTACAGCCTTATTCTAAAATTGATTAAATAGTTTTGTTGTCCATCAATCTACACACTATACCCCATAATGACAAAGCAAAAATAGGATTCTTTACATTTTTGCAAATGTATTAAAAATCGGAAATACTACATTTACATAAGTCTTCAGACTCTTTACTTGTTGAAGCACCTTTGGCAGCGATTACAGCTTCGAGTCTTCTTGGGTATGACGCTACAAGCTTGGCACACCTGTATTTGGGGAGTTTCTCACATTCTTCTCTGCAGATCCTCTCAAGCTCTGTCAGGTCGGATGGGGAGCGTTGCTGCACAGCTATTTTCAGGTCTCTCCAGAGATGCTCGATTGAGTTCAAGTCCGGGCTCTGGCTGGGCCACACAAGGACATTCAGAGACTTGTCCCGAAGCCACTCCTGCGTTGTCTTGGCTGTGTGCTTAGGGTCGTTGTCTTGTTGGAAGGGGAACCTTCACCCCAGTCTGAGGTCCTGAGCGCTCTACAGCAGGTTTTCATAAAGTATCTCTCTGTACTTTGCTCTGTTCATCTTTCCCTCGATCCTGACTAGTCTCCCAGTCCCTGCCGCTGAAAAACATCCCCATAGCATGATGCTGCCACCACCATGCTTCACTGTAGGGATGGTGCCAGGTTTCCTCTAGACGTGACGCTTGGTATTCAGGTCAAAGAGTTAAATCTTGGTTTCATCAGACCAGAGAATCTTGTTACTCATGGTCCGAGAGTCTTTAGATGTCTTTTGGCAAACTCCAAAAGGGCAGTCATGTGCCTTTTACTGAGGAGTGGCTTCCGTCTGGCCACTACCATAAAGGCCTGATTGGTGGAGTGCTGCAGAGATGGTTGTCCTTCTGGAAGGTTCTCCCATCTCCACAGAAGATCTCTAGAGCTCTGTCAGAGTGACCATCGGGTTCTTGGTCACCTCCCTGACACCAAGGCCCTTCTTCCCCAGATTGCTCAGTTTGGCCGGGCAGCCAGCTCTATGAAGAGTCTTGGTGATTCCAAACTTCTTCCATTCAAGAATGATGGAGGCCACTGTGTTCTTGGGGACATTCAATGCTGCAGAAATGTTTTGGTACCCTTCCCCAGATCTGTGCCGTGACACAATCCTATCTTGGAGCAAACAGACAATTTATTTGACCTCATGGCTTGGTTTTTGCTCTGACATGCATGGTCAACTGTGGGACCTTATATAGACAGGTGTGTGCCTTTCCAAATCATGTCCAATCATTTGAATTTACCACAGGTGGACTCCAATCAAGTTGTAGAAACATCAAGGATGATCAATGGAAACAGGATGCACTGGAGCTCAATTTCGAGTCTCATAGCAAAGGGTCTGAATACTTATGTAAATAAGGTATCTGTTTTTTATTTTTTATAAATGTGCAAAAACAATTCTAAAAACCTGTTTTCACTTTTTCATTATGGGGAATTGTCTGTAGATTCTTGAGGCTTTTAATTTTTTTTTTATACATTTTAGAATAAGGCTGTAACGTAACAAAATGTGGAAAAAGTCAAGGGGTCTGAATACTTTCCAAAGGCACTGTAGGCTATTTTTACATAGTTGGCAATGGCAATGAAAGTTAAGATTGGTATCATTTTCATTTAGATACAATTAAGAACCACATGACAGTGATTGAGATATAAATTAAAAACTACTATTATAAATTCAATTGAAACTAAAAAATGTGTATATGAAAATCATAACTGGCATGCAGATCAGTAGAAAATTGGAAAAGGTTGCCGACCCCTGGTGTAGCCTATTACCAGCAACTTCAGGCGCATAACGGCAGAATCTGTGAAGGACAGCAGCAGCGAGAGGAGGGGGGTCTGGAACAGTTTTTTTTTCTTCTGGTTAGGCTATCTTGATTTCTGGCTCCCTCTTGAGTCATTTGTGTGTTTTAATTATTTAATCAAACAGCATGCTTCAAGCATTAGACATGCTCAGTACATATAGTTGATTTTATTAAAAACACATAGGGTGTGTCTATATATGGAAAATCACATTTAAAAATGTTGAAAGAAAAGACGACTCTCGGTCTAACAATATTTCTTTGGGTCGGGGACAGCCCTAACACACACACACACACACACACACACACACACACACACACACACACACACACAGATCTCAGTCCCGCCCTATTTAAAAAGTCCCTCCAGGCTTGTCAGTTTTCTATCACAAGCTTGTGGTGATGTCATGTTTCAGTGCTCAGTTGATCAGGCCCCTGATTCCTGACCTAAATGTTAGACGTCAGAATCTGTAAGAAATAACCAGTCTTTTAAACATACATAGGCAGTTTGTTTGATTGGCTTGACCCTGTCTTTTACACATAATCACAATGTTACACAGAATCAGCCTTGAAGACAGGGCTCGCCTGCTGTAGCCTGTAACCATGCAGACTGGGTAAGCAGACTGTTATGATAACTAGGCATGTCAGACAGAAACCAGCCTGTAAAATATAAATCACAACTGTCCATTGGCTCACCATTGGCTAGGCTCCATATAATACTCTTATTTATCTATACCCCCTGACGTGGATAGTATTCGTAGGCTACTTTGTTTAAAAAGTAGATAAAGTGTATACAACATTCTCCGGGGTCGAGGCATAGTTACATTTTTTACCCAGACTCCCATGGGACATGTGTTACAGTGTGTTGCCAATGGTATGTTCTCATGGCATCTAGTCAGATTATGCTGGAACATTGTCATAAATTCCCTGGAACACTCTTCCATGACAGTGTGTGTGTGTGGGTGTAAGTGAGTTGGACGTGTTTGTGTGTGAGAGATTATTAGTGTGTGCCTATGTATGAGTGTGCACAGGATGTTTAAAGTCCAAGTGAACTCGCTGTCTGATACAGGGAAGAGCAAGTTTGAGTCACGCTAAATTAGTCAGACTGTTAGTGTTAAATGTCATTGTCTTTTCAGTTTATGGATTGTACAAGCTCTGATGGTTGACTCAGCATTGTCGGGCTGCTTAATGCACTAGTGACAAAAAAATTATGATATCATGACCTCGACGGCTATGGCTGACTGTGTGACGGACACCTAGCTGTCCTCTACCAGATTTGGACAATGTGCAGCTACTTGTTGTGTTCTAGTAGCAGGAGGGTTGACAGTGAGGGAGGGAGAGAAAAGCTGACTGCAAAGCTCTACTGAGCTCACAAGGAAATAGATTTACTCTGCCCTCTGCTGGACATAACTGGTACATACATACTCCCAATAGTACAGTCCATAGTCAAGTACAAGTAATATCTCAGGGAATTTCAGGGCTATGAAACACAAGAACGTATCAACATACGTATTGAATTATGTAACAAACAAGACCATTGAAATTATTTGAGTGCCAATCCGTAAAAAACATTGTCTCCATTGTGATGTTTTGCTGGTATTGTTATTACTCAATGTAAGCGGTCAGTCACCGCAAGTGAATGATCAGTCCCTTTCACAGTATACTACATAGTTATAAAGACCATGGACAAAGTCCACTGTAACCAAAAAAAGCCAATAATCAAGAAGTATCCACTCTGTCCAGCGAGGATCCACTCTGTTGTGCCATAAGTACACAACCGCCTAGGTCTCTAAGCCAATAGGTTGATTACACTATACAAAATTATTCAGTTATCACAACTAATGACTACTTATGGGACAAAATTATTCCGTTGTCATTAACAAATGACAACAAACTAAAATATAGGTAAACATATTTAAATGACATGTGGTATGTTTATTGCTTTCCTTTCCATTTAAGCCATGAGTCAACACACCTTGTTCAAAGGTCAATTCTTTCTGACTCACTGTCTCCTCTACCATTACTTTGGTAGCAAGTCTACGGGCCCACCATTCAATATGATCAGCACTACCACATAGTGTCGTTGTCATAACGATATTACCCTATTAGGAAGAGACTTTAGATGTACAGTACCAGTCAAAAATCTGGACACACCTACACATTGAAGGGTTTTTCTTTATTTTTACTATTTTCTACATTGTAGAATAATAGTGAAGACATCAAAACTATGACATAACACATATGGAATCATGTAGCAACCAAAAAACAGTGTTAAACAAATCAAAATATATTTTATATTCTTCAAATAGCCACCCTTTGCCTTGATGACAGCTTTGCACACTCTTGGCATTCTCTCAATCAGCTTCATGAGGAATGTTTTTCCAACAGTCTTGAAGGAGTTCCCACATATGCTGAGCTCATGTTGGCTGCTTTTCCTTCACTCTGCGGTCCAACTCATCCCAAACCATCTCAAATGGGTTGAGGTCGGGTGATTGTGGAGGCCAGGTCATCTGATGCAGCACTCCATCACTCTCCTTCTTGGTCAAAAAGCCCTTACACAGCCTGGAGGTGTGTTTTGGGTCATTGTCCTTTTGAAAAATAACTGATAGTCCCACTAAGCGCAAACCAGATGGGATGGCGTATCGCTGCAGAATGCTGTGGTAGCCATGCTGGTTAAGTGTGCCTTGAATTCTAAATAAATCACAGACAGTGTCACCAGCAAAGCAGCCCCACACCATCACACCTCCTCCTCCATCCTTCACGGTGGGAGCCACACATGAACGGATCATCCGTTCTCACAAAGACACGGCAGTTGGAACCAAAAATCTCAAATTTGGACTCAAGACCAAAGGACAGATTTCCACTGGTCTAGTGTCCATTGCTCGTGTTTCTAGGCCCAAGCAAGTCTCTTCTTATTATTGGTGTCCTTTAGTAGTGGTTCCTTTGCAGCAATTCAACCATGAAGGCCTGATTCACGCAGTCTCCTCTGAACAGTTGATGTTGAGATGTGTCTGTTACTTGAATTCTGCGAAGCATATATTTTGGCTGCAATTTCTGAGGTGCAGTTAACTCTAATGAACTTAACCTCTGCAGTAGAGGTAACTCTGGGTCTTCCATTCCTGTGGCGGTCCTCATGAGAGCCAGTTTCATCATATTGCTTGATGGTTTTTGTGACTGCACTTCAAGAAACTTTCAAAGTTATTGAAATGTTCCGGATTGACTGACCTTCATGTCTTCAGGTAATGATGGACTGTCTTTTCTCTTTGCTTATTTGAGCTGTTCTTGCCATAATATGGACTTGGTCTTTTACCAAATAGGGCTATCTTCTGTATACCACCCCTACCTTGTCACAACACAACTGACTGGCTCAAACGCATTAAGAAGGACAGAAATTCCACAAATTAACTTTTAAGAAGGCACACCTGTTAATTGAAATGCATTCCAGGTGACTACCTCATGAAGCTGGTTGAGAGAATGCCAAGATTGTGCAAAGCTGTCATCAAGGCAAAGGGTGGCTACTTTGAAGAATCTCAAATATAAAATATATTTTGATTTGTTTAACACTTTTTTGGTTACGACATGATTCCATGTGTGTTATTTCATAGTTTTGATGTCTTCACTGTCATTATACAATGTAGAAAGTAGTAAAAATAAAGAAAAACCCTGGAATGAGTAGGTGTCCAAACTTTTGACTGGTACTGTATAATGGGTTTTAGATATTGTGTGCTGTGGGTTGGTCGGACGGTTAAAGCCGCCACCAATGGCACATATGTGATCCCATGTCTGCGAGGGATGGAATCCCGATCCTCTACACTGTTTCTCCTCTATTGGTCTCCCCTTCATATGAATCAATGTCAATAAAATACGATTGACTCTACTGCAGAAAGTAGGCCTCTCCTACCTTGCGGTTGCCGGCCATCTTGCGTAGGAAACTGAAGGTGCGCTCTAAAGGGCTGCCTGTCCTCTCCTCCTGGGTCTCGTCTCTCTCGACCTCTGTCCAGCTTCCCTCTCTCCCCCAGAGCAGCAGACCCAGGTCACTATCCACACTGAGGGAGAGGAGAGCAGGAGAACATTAAAGAGAACAGAGGGAAATGGACAGGAAAGTTAGACAAAGAAAAGAGAGAGAAGACATGAAAGTTTGTGACAGGATGAGAGGACGGAGGACGGCAAAGGGAAGAATTACAGAGAGGAGAGAGGGACAGAAGACAGGAAAGATTTAGAGACAGGATTAGAGGAAGGAGCAGGACAGCAAAAAGGGAATGATAAAGAGAAGAGGTAGGGAGAAAAGTGGAGAGGTGGAGAAAGAGAGGAGTGCCAGATTGCATATTATCACTGCAGACCGCTTTTAGCATTGACTGTAAATGGTCATTTAATAACATCGGACACGCAACTATAAAAGGCACTGTGGCTTCCGTGAGAACAGGAAACAGAGCCAGAATGGAGACTGCAGTGCGCGAGACAAACAGGTCCAGAATGGAGACGGCGGTTTGCTAATGGAAATAGATTAAAAAAATGGCCACATCCTTTGCATGAAAGGGAAAACGGGAGAAAGGCAACTCACCTCTGCGTGGATCCTCCAAGTTGACGGTAGGGTAAAGTCTCTGGAACACACAGATCAGAAGACACTCAACACACGGAGACCTTCCTAAACACTCTCCAAAGCTTACGACTCTGGCTGAGCTTCTCAATAACAGCTATGCCTAGAACAAGGCAGAAATCAAAACCTAAAATACACAAAGTAAAAACAAAACATTTTTTAAAACACACAAAGTAGGGAAATGTCCCAATCACCTGATGCTCATTCAAGGGCTGCAGTGCTATCTTTAACCAATAATAAACTTGCCAAGCACAAAGAGTAAGTTGTTATGAGAGTGAAAGAGGCACAGATAGCCTATAGGCTACTGAGTTTGATAACACAGGTTAGAAGAGAGGGATAGGAAGGGAATGATAGAATAAATTCTAGTAAATCCGAGTTGGTCGTCTGAGCAGTGTGTTAAAATGGAGGAATTGAAGTGGAAGGAGACTAGTAGAGAGCGAGAAAGGAGAGATGGGAGAGTTAGAAGTAGAAATGGAGGCTCTGCTGTGAAACTGGAACTGGGGCTAAAGACAGAACAAACACAGGAAGAGCGCTTCCGCACTGCTGCACACACACACACAAACACTGGGTGCATACATGTGCACACACACAGATGGAGGCATACACACACACACATACTAATAGGGGCAGGGGCATGCAAAAAACCCTGAGAAACACACACACGGACAAACAAACCCTTAAGAATCACATAATGAGAGACAAAAGACAGAGACAAACAATGAGAAATAAAGACTGAAGCATGCACACACACTGAAAAACAGTACACACAGTTGACATAAACAGTGAAAAAACAGACACATACACACTGAGTAATAATCCTGACAAACAAACAAAAACAAGCATGCACTTAGTGCAAATTACAATACCCAATTATAATAATTAAATACACCCACATACAATTTACAAAATGATTCAACTACTGTAAACAAAAACAAGGCATTTACACACAAACACATGTACTTTCACGCCGTCTATCAAACTCATGCACACATACACACGTTGCTGTTGACTGACACTGACAAACACTGACTTACTGTCCAACTTGAGCCCGACTCAGAGCAAAACAAAGACTGACAAAGTGTGTGTGTGTGTGTGAGAGAGAGCGAGTACGTCTGTGAGAGTCTAGATACGGTACAGACCACAGAAAGACCCTCTGCAGTCAGAGCAGTCTTTGGGTAGAGTGAGGAGTTTATAGACTTACTCAAATCTAGAGATCACTAAGGATACATTCTTCCCAACAAACAATCCTTGGCTGCGGTCAAATTCTCTAACCTTTTCCACAAAGTGAGCACTCCCATTCATGGACTGAATTGAAAAGGAATGGACGGACAGGTGTAAGAAATATGGGAGAAACGAGTGTACACTTTAGGGTGAAGGGATACAGAATAGGACCGCAGGCAGCCCATGTGACTCCTTCAACCCTGTTACCCGGTGAACTTGTCTGACCCTGGGTTGTGTTCATTAAGGCACACAACAGAAAACGTTAAAAACATTTTGCAACAAGAAACAAAAATAGGTGTTTCTTATTGGACAGTTCCAGGTAGTCCCTCCCTGTTTCAGTCTGTTTTCTTCATTTGGTGCATAATGAACATGACCCAGGCGTGCAGCATAGGCTTACCGTAGCAGTTGGAGCGTGGTCGGGGGGCCGCGCTTTGAAGGTTGCTGCGACGCGCCACACTGAGGGTTGGGGCCGATGCACTGCAGCCCTGCAGCTGGTTGGACTGTTCCTGTTTAATGCACATATTACACAAAATGAGCATTGCACTGCTCCTGTGACCCAACAAGAAGTTATGCTTCGGGTTATAGTGGAGGGTGAACAGCATTTACGCACCATTTTATTAAGTAAATAGTGTTTATGCACCTATCACGCTAAATTAGCACTTACATTACTTACTACTCATCATCTCAACCAGTGTTCAGCATTGACCAACCTAAGCTACACTACATCCCAGGTAATAATATACTGTATGTATATGTACAAATCTTTATTTGGAATATACATTAACATTACATTTTGCTCATCCCACAACTTTCATAGCATTAAAAGTCCCTATGGTTTTCTCAATACATGCATCTCCATTCAGAATGAGTGACAGCCTGCTCGTCCAATCCCACAACCCTGATTGACAGGCTCACCTCCAATACGGAGTAGTGCTGCGCGTCAGACCCTGCCTCTTCCTCTGTGAGGGAGGACAGGGAGCCCTCCTGGGTGATGGGGTTCCTCCGAGGATCCCTCCCCCCTCGCCGGACGTCCAGCGCCGCCCCCAGAACCTTCTCCATCTCCTCGGGGTCCAGGTTCTCCAGACTCACACTAAGGGGAGATTCAGTTCAGTTCAATATAACTTTATTTATCCCCTCAAGAGCAATTAAGAAAATCATCGTCAGTTTACAAATATAAATATACTCCACAAATACATTCAAAAAGACATCACATTTCCCAATAAAATACATATCCTGCAACATCATTAGTAGAATAGAAGTAGAGAGAAGAGAGAGAAAGGGAGTCTGTAAAAGTAACGAACTTTGACCCATCCTCTTCTACCTCTTCTGTAAAGAATGTCTCTGCACACATACACACTATAGTTGCAGATGAGAGGTTGTTTCCATAACCCCTGATACGTGTCAAGGCAAGGAGGTGTGTGTGTTGTGGTTGTAACACTGTCTGACTGGACCTGTCGTGGTGTTTTCTGTGTGTGAGGGGAGGGGAGGGGGAGAGATGTTGTCCAGCGATGGCAGTGCCAGTACAATGGCTACTCTCTGGACGGTGTGTGTATATGCAAGAGCGAGTTGACAGTGCATGTCAGAGCAAAAACCAAGCCGTGAGGTCCGAGACAGGATTGGGTCGAGGCACAGATCTGGTGAAGGGTACCAAAAAAATGTCTGCAGCATTGAAGGTCCCCAAGAACACAGTGGCCTCCATCATTCTTAAATGGAAGAAGTTTGGAACCACCAAGACTCTTCCTAGAGCTGGCCGCCCGGCCAAACTGAGCAATCGGGGGAGAAAGGCCTTGGTCAGGGAGGTGACCAAGAACCCGATGGTCACTCTGACAGAGCTCCAGAGTTCCTCTGTGGAGATGGGAGAACCTTCCAGAAAGACAACCAGCACTCTGCAGCACTCCACCAGTCAGGCCTTTATGGTAGAGTGGCCAGACGGAAGCCACTCCTCAGTAAAAGGCACATGACAGCCCGCTAAAAGACTCACAGACCATGAGAAACAAGATTCTCTGGTCTGATGAAACCAATATTTAACTCTTTGGCCTGAATACCAAGCGTCACGTTTGGAGGAAACCTGGCACCATCCCTACGGTGAAGCATGGTGGTGGCAGCATCATGCTGTGGGGATGTTTTTCAGCGGCAGGGACTGGGAGACTAGTCAGGATCGAGGGAAAGATGAACGCAGTAAAGTACAGAGAAATCCTTAATGAAAACCTGCTCCAGAGTGCTCAGGACCTCAGACTGGGGCGAAGGTTCACATTCCAACAGGACCACGACCCTAAGCACACAGCCAAGACAAAGCAGGAGTGGCTTCGGGACAAGTCTCTGAATGTCCTTGAGTGGCCCAGCGAGAGCCCGGACTTGAACCCGATCGAACATCTCTGGAGAGACCTGAAAATAGCTATGCAGCGACGCTCCCCATCCAACCTGACAGAGCTTGGGAGGATCTGCAGAGAAGAATGGTAGAAACTCCACAAATACAGGAGTGCCAAGCTTGTAGCGTCGTACCCAAGAAGACTCAAGGCTATAATCGCTGCCAAAGGTGCTTCAACAAAGTACTGAGTAAAGGGTCTGAATACTTACGTAAATGTGATAGTTTTTTATTTGTTAGAAATGTGCTAAAATTATGGGGTATTGTGTGTAGATTGAGGGAAAAAAACTATTTAATAAATTTTAGAATAAGGCTGTAATGTAACAAAATGGAGGGGTCTGAATACTTTCCTAATGCACTGTATGTGTGTGAATCTGGACACAATGTGGACACACTGAACACTCCCAATTCTCTTCAAGACAGGGCCGTTGTTGGATAAACCACTGTTTAACCAACTCTTAGCTTTTTACCAGTCATATCAACAAGCTTTCACCAAGGCTTGTGCGAAATAAAATGATTTACCTTGTACCTAACGTTCACGGAAATGTGCTATTGTCAGGTAAATCATGTGATAAATGAGACATAAAGACAGTCTCATTAACTAAAAAGGCATTCAAGGTCAATTCAACCCAATAACTATCTTTTGGCATTTGTTTCATTAGTCCATTGTTGACAGTCTCAAACTTTCATCATGAGGGGATGATTTCTGTATTTTGAAAGTTCCATATTTGAAAACTTGATTGTTGACAAGCAAAACCTTTTTGGACTATGTCAACAATGGACTAATGTAATAAATACTAAAAGATAGTTTTCTGGTGGAGTTTTCCTTTAAAGAGAGAGTGAGTAGGTGGTTAACTATTAGTGAGCATTGTGCAGTCCCTCCAGGATTCCGTGATTGCAAACATTTTCAACCAATCACTGCACATTTACTGTATAGTTTGGCTCAATCGTGCCACACGTCAACAAATCTTTTCCCTCGTCAGAGCATTTTTGCATCAAATTGGACAAAATCATTGCATATTGCCATGCAAAATGTCAGAATTGCTGCAGTAAAATCAAGCATTTTTGCCTTCAAATATCACAAAAAATCCCAGCTAAATCCTGGAGGGACTGCCTGAGAGCCACATGAATACGGTTTTCAAATAAACCATGCACTGATGTTGATAGATTTGACTGTATTTTTGGGTGTGAACATGTGATTTAAGAGTGTGTGGATAAGAATGTCTATTAAAGCTATATTGTAGTTGTGTGGTGGGACTGGGTACTGTATAATAGATCAAGAAAGATTGTATTGTAAATTGATAAAATGTGAACATAAGGATTCCCGTATAGAATTGTATGTTTATTGCACCCCCTACCTGCGGTTGTCGCTGGGTTCCGTCCCCTTCTGCTGCACCGTAATGATAGCCCCGGGCTCCCAGCTGTGTCTCCTCCAGGGGTCCAGGTGGGTGAGGTGACGGGTGGCCGGAGAGCGCAGGATAACCCCCCCGGCCCCGCCAACCCCCTTCACCCCAGAGCCTGGGGAGCATGGCGGGGAGGGGTATGGGAAACAGGGTGGGGCGGGTGGTGTGGTAGAGGAAGAGGGCAGGCAAGCTGGTGGGTGGGCGTAGGGGGAAGGGGTGGTCGGCATCTGGATGAGGGGTTGAAGTAAGAAAGGGGCACAGTGAGAGCTCATACTGTTCAATAGGGATGGGCGATGTCAACCTTTGTCCTATCGTGATTATGTATCCATAAAACATTGTGATTAAAGATGCTATCGCCCCCCCAAAAAATATTACATTTTAGATGTATTTATTTATTTTTAAGATGCACCATGCAGAAATAGCTCCGCCATTTCCTGGTTGCGAAAATTCTAATAATTCGGCTAATTTCAGTTTGTGACAAAACAACCAAGTATAGTGTAAAGAATCATTGTACCATCTAAACCGCTGTGAAAAATATTTTCCATAAGCAAAAATATTATATTTTCAGCTGGTGTACAAAACCGAAAGTAAAAGATTCAAAAAATTCAACTTAAGCACGGGAAGCATAGAAACAGTGCACATAGAACAGATCTACCACTTCTTAGACTTGCTTTCAATGAGAATGACAGATCTATAACTCACATTTCTATGCGAATTTGGTCGGGTCGCCCAAAAAGTTACATATTGCCGCTTTAACTCAGCTAAAAACAACAGTTGGGCTATAGCGTGAAATCAAATGCAACTGGACGAATCATGACGAAAGATAATGTTGTTGAAAGCCTGAGCAGAGGCTAAGTGCAGGCAAATCTTTTCTAATATTCCTTTCTGGTGGAGGAGCTTCAGCATGGAGCAGGTTTGTGTGTGTGTCTTTGTCTGTCTGGCGCGCTGTGATGGAGCAGTGACTGTCTGATGAGGAACGGGCTGTCTTACCGTAGTGACATCATTGGCTGGATAGAGGCAGTCTACCGTCTTCAGAACTGGATAATAATTACTTTAATTTGCCTCATAAAATAAATAGAAAAATAAATAATATTGTTTGTTCTATCTATCATAAAGCTGTGATTGAGAATAGCCTTGGCTTAGGCTACAGACCAGGGGTGTCAAACTCATTCCACGGAGGGCCGAGTGTCTGCAGGTTTTTGGTTTTTCCCTTTCAATTAAGACCTAGACAACCAGGTGAGGGGAGTTCCTTACCAATTAGTAACCTTAATTAATCAATCAAGTACAAGGGTGGAGCGAAAACCCCGCAGACACTTTGCCCTCCGTGGAATTAATTTGACACGTGCTATAGACTTTCAATCTTGTCATTTTTGAAAGCCACAACTTTTGGACACCTTCGTAGGCTAGAATATTTGGGAAATAAGCTACTGTTCATAACTAACTTCTCTTAAAGCGTTTACGATAGCCCAGTACGAGGATAGGTTATTGTTATTGGCCATTTGGTTTTCAAACTCGCTTGGATGGATTTTCCCGGCCCGCATGGATCATTTATTCTTAATAAGCTTAAACGTGCAGAAGAAATATCAGCCCGCGCAGAGAAGCACGAGATTGAACGAGTTTTCCCTGTTAGTTAACACTATCAACATTTCCCTTTAATGTGGGAATTGTGATCGAATCAACGCAATATTAGCCACTTTCAATGCAACATACCGAAATAAAACGAACTATGCAAGACTTCGCATGCAAAACAAACTAAGCAAGAGATGTTGTTGTAGGCAGAGCGCATCGTAGTAGGATTCTATTGCATTGACAGGCACGACTCAGACCCGTACTCTACACAGACCAGTGCGCCATAACCAATCAGAGCTGCAGTAGGCCTATATGAAAATAGACCATTGCCATATACAGATTTGTGCCATTGACTTTGAACTGGACTGTTTCACACGAGTGGTCGTCATTATTATGTGCTTGTTTTGAGATCAAAGCGAGAGCTGCATATAGCCATCTGTGCACATTTGTTCATATTCTTTGCTAGTTAGTGAGTTATTAGCCCAGTTATAGCTAATCAGTAATGTGGGAGTGATTGTTTCCTACAAGAGCACCAAATGTGTACATATCTAGCCATCTTTGAAAAGCTAGTCAGGTAAAGAGCTTTTTTTATTTTACATTTTAGTCATTTAGCAGACGCTCTTATCCAGAGCGACTTACAGTTAGTGAGTGCATCATTTTTTTTTATACTGGTCCCCCGTGGGAAACGAACCCACAACCCTGGCGTCGCAAACGCCATGCTCTACCAACTGAGCTACGCGGGACTTTTATGTCTTAAAGGGGCAGTGTTGTATTTTGAGACAGGCTTGAATAAACTAAGTAGCCAATAGGCAGAGGGTAGCATAATTTGTCTGATTCTCTGTAATAATGGTATGGGAATAATAACGCATTTTATTTTGTAAAGTGGTTTCTTGCATCAAACAACAACAAAATGTTCAGTCACCACCTTGTCTGTAGGACAAGTGGATAAACAGGTTAATGTCAAGCCCTGCATGTATTTTTTCAAAAGTCTCATGGAACGTAGGCCTACATTGAACACTACACATTGGCTGCTACTGTAGGCTGAATGATAGAACCGCTATTTCCATGTTAATTGATGCATAGTTTTTATGGTAGGCCACCCTGGTAGACCTACATTAAGATCAAATAGCCACAGTAGCCTACTTGGCCACTGTTAAAACAGTAAATTAAAGCAGGTACAGCCTCCGTGTCCACACTAAACGCGCGCCGGAAGTTGCAAAGATTTTTCACAATGTTCAAGTTTGCGCTCAGCAGACCTGAAATTCGCTCAGTGCCGAAAACAATTAGAGGGAACATTGCTGCTGAATACCTTATATTTCCTGCATGAATGGGTGGATGTGGATGACTAACTTATGAATTCTGTGTAGGACAAGTTTGCATGTTATTGATGTATGCCTCGTAGTTTCTCCTTCCAATCACTGTCTGTCTGTCTCTACCCGATGAATTGGAAGAAAATACTACTTAAGATCCAACGAGGGTTCGATCTCAAAATGCATTCAACACAATTAACCCAATATGATCTATTCACAACAATTATCCATTAAGTACAGCAATAGATAAAATCATCAAGAAAAATGTCAATCATTGATTTACATCAAAAATCGAATGTTTGGCTACCTTGTTAACAATGCTATACAAGTGGGTAAAGTACAATAAATGAAAATGGGTCAATAACACACACACAAACGCACACATACACCAGGGATTCCGGACATTTCACCGGCAACATTTTAATTGACCAGAAATCACATTTGGATTATGGTAATTTATATTAACAGAAGATGCAAGTCAAGGATGCAATGATGTGCGGTCCTGCTTACCGAATTCTGATGTGGACTTTGAAGATATAACTCTCCACATTGACTTTTGCTCAGCCAACAAGACGAGTAACGAACAGCAAAATCACTAGCCTATGTCAATCTACTATCCCCCATAGTAGAAAAGTTGACCTATTGTATTGGTCAGCTTATTGAGAAAGCAATAGCCTATTCCAAAACAGACTCTGGGACAGTTGTGGGAAGATTGAATTTGGGATCTTAAAACCAGTAGGCCTAAGCTACAGTGAGGGAAAAAAGTATTTGATCCCCTGCTGATTTTGTATGTTTGCCCACTGACAAAGAAATGATCAGTCTATAATTTTAAGGGTAGGTTAATTTGAACAGTGAGAGACAGAATAACAACAAAATCATCCAGAAAAACGCATGTCAAAAATGTTATAAATTGATTTGCATTTTAATGAGGGAAATAAGTATTTGACCCCCTCTCAATCAGAAAGATTTCTGGCTCCCAGGTGTCTTTTATACAGGTAACGAGCTGAGATTAGGAGCACACTCTTAAAGGGAGTGCTCCTAATCTCAGTTTGTTACCTGTATAAAAGACACCTGTCCACAGAAGCAATCAATCAATCAGATTCCAAACTCTCCACCATGGCCAAGACCAAAGAGCTCTCCAAGGATGTCAGGGACAAGATTGTAGACCTACACAAGGCTGGAATGGGCTACAAGACCATCGCCAAGCAGCTTGGTGAGAAGGTGACAACAGTTGGTGCGATTATTCGCAAATGGAAGAAACATAAAATAACTGTCAATCTCCCTCGGCCTGTGGCTCCATGCAAGATCTCACCTCGTGGAGTTGCAATGATCATGAGAACGGTGAGGAATCAGCTTAGAACTACACGGGAGTATCTTGTCAATGATCTCAAGGCAGCTAGGACCATAGTCACCAAGAAAACAATTGGTAACACACTACGCCGTGAAGGACTGAAATCCTGCAGCGCCCGCAAGGTCCCCCTGCTCAAGAAAGCACATATACAGGCCCGTCTGAAGTTTGCCAATGAACATCTGAATGATTCAGAGGAGAACTGGGTGAAAGTGTTGTGGTTACATGAGACCAGAATCAAGCTCTTTGGCATCAACTCAACTCGCCGTGTTTGGAGGAGGAGGAATGCTGCCTATGACCCCAAGAACACCATCCCCACCGTCAAACATGGAGGTGGAAACATTATGCTTTGGGGGTGTTTTTCTGCTAAGGGGACAGGACAACTTCACCGCATCAAAGGGACGATGGACGGGGCCATGTACCGTTAAATCTTGGGTGAGAACCTCCTTCCCTTAGCCAGGGCTTTGAAAATGGGTCGTGGATGGGTATTCCAGCATGACAATGACCCAAAACACACGGCCAAGGCAACAAAGGAGTGGCTCAAGAAGAAGCACATTAAGGTCCTGGAGTGTCCTAGCCAGTCTCCAGACCTTAATCCCGTAGAAAATCTGTGGAAGGAGCTGAAGGTTTGCGTTGCCAAACTTCAGCCTCAAAACCTTAATGACTTGGAGAAGATCTGCAAAGAGGAGTGGGACAAAATCCCTCCTGAGATGTGTGCAAACCTGGTGGCCAACTACAAGAAACGTCTGACCTCTGTGATTGCCAACAAGGGTTTTGCCACCAAGTACTAAGTTATGTTTTGCAGAGGGGTCAAATACTTATTTCCCTCATTAAAAATGCAAATCAATTTATAACATGCGTTTTTCTGGATTTTTTTGTTGTTATTCTGTCTCTCACTGTTCAAATGATGTCTGATGCAACAGATAAGAACATTTAGCTTAAAATGTTTTGTTAACTATTATTTCTTCACATTATAAGCACAGCAATGTGCACAAGGCTG